CTCTATGATTCACGCTGGGGAGGCCTAGGAAAATTTTTGAGCCGGGGAGGCCTAGGAAAATTTTTGACCTGGGGAGGCCTAGGAAAATTTTTTACGCTACCCCGGACGACCGGCCGTCCCCCCCCCGGTAAATATCGTACAGTCCCTAAATGCCAAATATTGCTGTTTCTACCAGTAACATGACAATGACACTTAGTAGTTTCGTAAAGGCTCGGCCATTTTTTTTCATTACAAAAGGTCGTATGTACTCTCATGAAACAGCATTACTCCTAACCTGTTGTTGTCAGTGATGACAACAGCGCATGTACCGGTGGGCTCCGCATCATCATAATGGTAGTTGACGAGTACCCCATCATGCTCCCCTGCATTCTTCAGGACCTCACCGAACTTGTCCTTCCCAATACTACCAAAAAATGTGGTAGCATGGGGAACTTGCAACAGCCACTGTTGAGAAAGAAAGTAAATATTATGTAACGTTATACATGAACTTGAAAGTAAACCTTGTTTTTTTCTGTTTCTACACATTATGTATTTGCTTTGCAAATGTTACCTTTTGATATTAAACTAAATACATGTATACACAGATGTACAGTATATTGTAAGCTCAAAGAATCCTTCTCAACCACTATAATAAGATTGCTAACCTGTGCAACACGAATAGAGTTTTGTGTGGCTCCACCAGCGATGTATTCCACTTTGAGGTTATCCACCATATCTTGATACCTATAACAATATAACAAAGAGCTGTCTGTCATCATTTCTTCTTAAAATGATTCTAACTGGGATCATGATATTGTTTTAGACAGTAGGGTTAGGTAATATTTTTACACATTCCTCTTCCCTTCCAAATAAGGTCAATGACACTAGTATTCAGTGGTATTAGATTACATTATGTAGCAAGTGGCATTTGTAGTTGTACAGGGGGGCTGGGCAAAGGGAGGGGTCTATTGTTACTGAGTATCTATTGTGTTGATTGTGTATAATGATGATCTATTGGAATAATGTGTAACTGTACTTACATGGGTTTGTGCTTGTCTTCAGCTAAAATGGCATCATTTGCCTTCAAGCCATACCTGAAAAATTAAACAGAATCTTGGTTAAACTAGCAACATCATAAGCTTCAAAACAAACTTCAAAACAGTTTTTAATTTTTGAAATTCTAATTTAAAAATTCTGAAACACCAACTGGTCATGATAAGTTGAGACTCTTACTTGTCTAGAAAGGCTTGGTCTGCTGCTGCAGAGATATCCAGCAGTGGGTTCCCCATTCCAAACAGGATGCCTTCCCTGTTAGGGAAAATCCAGATTTATAACATAAAGAATATTGCTTTATAATGCATGTGTTTGAGTATAATCTCTCAAAAGAGATATTAGATCTGTATGAATACCATCAATGTTCTAGTGTCTTGATGAATCTCCTTAGAGCCATGTATGATGTACAGTGATGTGAGTGAATGCAGCCCTATACAATCACCATAGCTTATGTTTAATGACTTCTGACATAATGACAGCAATTTAGACCTTAGCTCCTCCTGCAACTATGGAGCAATTAGCGAATAAATAATGAACTCGAGTAAAATAGTCTTAGCTTCTTGATTAAATAGGGGACAAAAAATAGTTATTATTTCTATTAATATTAGAGGAGATCAGCATGGGGTGATGAGGGGGGGGGGTCAAATGACACACCCCCACCCCCGCCCCTTGGCCTTGGTAGGCGCCTGTATCTGTATCAAGTCTCCCCCAGGGTGCACACAAACAGTTGTGTAAATAGGACAGATAGTTTAGATTACCAGACTGGCAACCACCGAAAAGATCGTTTAACCTCTCTTTGCTCTGACTGAGATACGAGAGATATCCGAACTGCGGTTGGACGGGTCCAGAGTGTCGCGTTACCTGGGCACCCGCACCAGCATTTAAAACCACGTGCTAGCACGCGATCCCGATATAACTCATTAAACCTGAGACTAAACAACTCCACGGAACTTACCTCACGGAGACTTTTGCTTTCTTTGCTTCTGAAGCCATTGTCGAGTGATTTAGATGCAGTTGCCGACGCTGAAGTCCAGCTCTTTGTGCAGTACGTCCCCCTGGTCTGGCTGTCAGCAGAGTGGACGATTTTCTGATGGACGTTGGCAAATATGGGTGCACGGTAGTTACCACTCGATAAATAGGTGGGGAAACTCGATGGAAAAACTTATCACCATCTCTATTATTCTACGATAAATACCATTTTAAATGTAAAAATAATTTTAAGTTCATATTAATAAATGTTTTCTTTACCTTTTATGGATTTTAGCTCTAAAAAGACATTGTATTACTTTTCATAATTTGAGTTAAACATCCCTTAAATCGCAGTGGTATCGCCAAGGATCAAGAGGTCAAAGGTAACACGACACGAATGATCACTCCCAGTGCAACGGGAACGACAACAACTAGAGCTGCTTTGTTGTTTTTTCAAGGACAGGAGTTGGTACACGCCTACAGCTCAGGTGAGGAGAAGGGTGAAAGGTTATCGTTGCTTTGTCAAGTGAAATTAACCGCCACTTACGCCGCCTGCCGCGCCTGGGCGGAATGACTGGGCCGGGAATCTGACAAAAATAATTTTCCGGAAGCGCTAGAACTAAGCTGCACAGGGAATTGGTATTATTTTTACGTAACTCCACACCTGCGAGATATAGCACGTGCACCAAAATTACATTGAAAACACACAATTAACACTATAGCTATGCAGCAAAAGAAATAAGTAAGATTTAAGGCACTGTTTAGGCCGGAAATCACAGACCAACTGCTCATAATTTATGCAGGCTTTGGCGCCATCTTGAAAATACATGTAGCTTAGTTCATGTAACGTTAGCTACGAAAACTGCCTTGTATTTGTCGATGATAGACGTTGAATTACTTAACTTAACAGCAAATTAACACATTTACCAAAAGATATTTTGTATTATGAACCAAAGCACATAACATATATCTTCCGGTACCACATATAAAACGCCATATAGTGAAACCTTAAGAAACTGGAAATCCCGTACTTAAGAAACCAACCTTAAGAAACAAACTGTAACAGTCCGAAATAACAGCTTGTAAAACAGGTATGTATAAGAACAAGGGTATAATCTACTGAAAAGGTACGTTACCTTGGGTATGGGTTACTGTTAATAAATAAATAGCAGGCTCTTCTTCCAAATATACAAGATCTGGTGCTATAAAACATCACCAAACAAATTGCATCCAGGTACAGACGGTGCTTGCTACGGAAGTCAGTCAGAGTCAGATGGATAAAAACTAGTGTTGCATGTTAAAACTGTTGTTTTGAATGCCATTCCACCATTCTTCCTCAATGGTTCACATGATATGCAAATGTCTTAAGGTAATGTCCAGTAGCTCCATATGATTGGATGACTTTGAACTTTGAACTGCAACCTTTGGGTAGGACCCAAAGTTGATCCACAGGGGTCACGATTCCATCTCTGGAGGTGTGTCAGGACTGAATCCCATGTGCTGGGGAGTCTCCTCCTGTATAGGTACATGTACATTCAGCGACTGATCCTGACTCAATTAGCAGTTCAACCAATGAGAGAATGTCAATTTGTGGTTCGACCAATAAGAGTGTGGCTGCATGTCTGTCAAATTTGCATTCTATGTTTTTATTTTACATGCGAACAGTATGATTGCCTTGAGTATAATGGTAATGTAATGATCTTATTGTTTCAATCTGCAGATTCTGAAGATCAACATTAACAAATAAAACCATGGTAAGGCTCAAGTTGTTGTTATCAGAATCGGTAGGTACATGTACATCTATTTTTATTTGTGAATGCCGTGACCAACTATCTATTGCAAGCTCAAAATCCTTGGCGTAGGTAATAACGTTACATGTATAGAAAATTAGCAATCGTCCTCTCATCTTTTGATGCACCACAAAGTGGTGTTGATGATGTTGATGTTGATGATGATAATAGAAATCCACATACAACTACATGTACATACCAGTATACATCCAGTACATGGACCAGTGCATGTTACGTGCAGGTAGACATTTCTGCACAGCTCCACATACTAGTATTTACATGTATATCTAACTGCCCATTCAGAGTGCCCCAGTCAAGGATGTCACCATCCCAGAAGATGCACCTTCTGACTTACTGCTGAACAAACATGCTGACTTCATCGCTCTGTATGGTGCCAAGAAGGACGACTATGTAAGTTTGTGAGGTCTTTTCCTTATAAGGCTTGATATGTATCAGTTGATATCCTGTACAAGAGATACTGTATGGCAGAGCACCTGTCCCATAACATGTTGTACAGGACTACTACCAGTAGTGCCATTTAATTTTAATGGCTGAGTGGCTAGACCATCGGGCATGAGATTTGAATTTCGTAGGTTTGATCCCTGCATTCCTGGCTATCCTTGTGAAAGGCACTTTACGTGACTTTCTTCACTCCATCCAGGTGTTAAATGGGTACCTTACTTTGTTCGGGGATGTAAAAAGCAGTGGAAGGAGAGGGATGGGGTCCACCTTACAGTAGACACAGTGGATCAACAACCCACTGACATTACAGCCCGAAAAAGCTATGGTTCTACATTTCCCTTTTTTTCTACAGGAGTACTGTATGACAGAGTACCTGCGGCTGAGTGGGATGTACTGGGGACTGACGACCATGGACCTGCTGGGTCAGCTGGAGAGGATGGACCGTCAGCAGGTTGTGGAGTTCGTGGCGGCGTGTCAGCACGACTGCGGGGGATTTGGCGCCAGTCTGGGACACGATCCTCATCTCCTCTATGCACTCAGTGCTGTTCAGGTCAGAATATCTCTATCAGTCTTCTAGTCGGGGTCTGTCTCTCAAGGCGTTTGACAGACTTTTGCCACTCATGACAGACAAAACTTTTGCCAAGGTCATTTTTGACAGACAAAATATGGCATGTAAAGATGTGGAAAGAGACTAGTCTACCAGCAAGATTTGCTCCTCAAAATGCAGGACACACCAGTACTGTTTCAGAGGGTCAAGATTTCATCATTTGCCCAGGGAGCATGCCCCAGACTCTCTTAGGATTGGCCATCCTTCAGCACTGGATGTTACGTTTGAGATGATGGAAAAAAATTGCAGGCTGGATAGAACACTGCTCTCTACTATCTCTCTATTTCTTTCTCTGTCTCATTTTTTAATTCCCTCACAAAATTGTGTATAGTCGGTCCTGCCAACACCACTCAAGTCATGGATTAATTCCACCTGAATAGTATTACATGTATTGGAAAATTTATTACCTCCGGGGAAGGAGATATCCTTCCGCGAGGAGGTTTTACTATGGTTCGAAACATTTCTGTCAGCAGCTGTTTCTCGCGATCGGCTGGACGGATTTGTCTGTGGTTCGGTATACGTATTGCTGTTGGGCTGCAGATGATGCAGAACGTTTTTGTTTAATTGCATATGTGTTTATGGGCGTGGAAATAAAAGGTTTTTAAGTGCTCCGGACACCCCCGCCATGCTGAAAATGGAATTTACCATGTTGTTAAGGAATGGGGAGGTTTCAGTTTTGGGTCTTACCATTTAAAAGGGGTCAAACAGAGGGGTGTCTGCTTCCGATATGTATTTTGAAATATTATCGCAGTTGTATCTCGCGTTGGGGTAGACTGGACTCGGTGTATGTTCTTCTAATGGGCTGTAGATGGTGCAGGTTTTTTTGTTTTTATTGTATATGTGTTTTGGGGCGTAAAAATCTGAAAATCGTCGCGCGCGGCGCTGGGCTGGCTGCCAGCGCAACTTCCGGGTGGGCCAATGGGTCAGGGGTCAACGCCCTCTTGCGCAATCTTGGATGTTTTCGGCGTATAGTACGACTTCTTAACTTACAAATACCGTGGTATACTGTCTCAGACGTTCTCGACATGCATTTTTACCGTGGGTACATGGTATGGGCTGCAGATGAAAATGTTGACCAGTCCTGTATTATTTAAACACAACCAGGAACGCTAAATCTAACACATAAAATTCAACACCATCAACTATACAGAACAAACAACATGGAAAAATATACAATAAAAAGCCCGGAGGTATAAAATCTCAGATTTTACTTGTTTGATTTAAATTTAGCCTGATATGAATTTTTTTTGTTTTCCCCACCCCAGATCCTGACCCTGTATGATGCCTTAGATGCAGTAAATGTGGACAAACTTGTGGAGTTTGTGTCCAACTTACAACAGCCTGACGGATCCTTTTTTGGTGACAAATGGGGTAGGTGCTCCCCTCTCATATTTTTATGGTTTTAAGTTGCACAAAGGTGGTGTTTGATGAAAAGTTAAACAATAATATTCTTGTATCATGGGTACTGGGAACATTACAAATGTCAAAGATGGTTATCTAGTTACATTAACCTTCACAAAAGGACAACATCTTATTTTTGTCCTGTTTCTTCTTCTCCCCTTCCAAACAAGTAAGGTGAATGACCTGGACCAGACGGCTGTCACCCTGTGGTGTTAGATTAGATTATGTAGTAAGTGGCAGAGTTGGAGGGGCTGGTCACCACATACATTAATGTGTTTGAGTGAGAATGAACAGAACAGTAGTTTAATGGGTTAGACCATGTGATGGTAAACATTATGTATTTGCTTTGCAAATGTGACCTTCCTTGTTGTATGTTATGTATTATCCCATAGCAGGACAGGAGGCCATCCAAGTGAATTATGTTTTGTTCTGTCTATTACAGGTGAAGTGGACACCAGGTTTTCCTTCTGTGCTGTGGCCTGTCTGAAACTATTGGTGAGTACACTCACAATCAATTTTTTCCTCACAGATGTCAGTATGCTATGTGATAGGGTTTATTGAACTAACTACATTAAAAAAATGGCCAGAAAATTGACGTTGAAAATCCAGTTTTGCTGCCTAGAAATTGCTTTGGATGTCTTTAATGTAGTGATGACTTCTTGTACCTCTGTGTATCCAGGACAAGCTGAGTGCTATTGACCTTGAAAAGGCCACCAAGTTTGTTCTCTCCTGTATGAACTTTGATGGCGGTTTTGGGTGCAGACCAGGGTCTGAATCACACTCTGGACAGGTAGGAATGCATACTAAGTCTTAGATTCAAAGACAATAGTTTTGAAATGTTTTCTTGCAGATGAACAATAGTTGTCAGGGTGCCTCTTGCTTCATTGTCAGAACCAGTGAACCACCTTTAGGGGTAACACACCAGTTTTGTACATTAAGTACAAGCTGCGAAAGACCAATAGGGTAACCAGTAATCCACTTAAACCAGAATGGACCCCTATTCTGATTGTTCTTTAACATGCTAGAGGTATGACTGTCTTTGAACACAGAACTGGATATACCATCCAAGAGAACGTCCCTAACCAAAGGTAGGCACTCATTTTTAGCAGAATCGAGTGAGTTCAACTACTAGGCATTTGAAACCGGGTTTTCATAGCCAACTACCTAAGGACAAGACTACCCAGGAGTGTGAAAGTTAACCCTGTTGTTCATGTTGTTTGTACAGATCTACTGCTGTGTTGGGTTCCTGGCAGTGACGGGGCAGCTTCACCATGTCAACGCTGACTTACTGGGCTGGTGGCTGTGTGAGAGACAACTCCCATCAGGTACTGTAGGGCACCAAGATAGCCAACTATTTCAGTCACACATTGCCATCCCACTCGTGTCACCAAAACAGCTATTCCCATCTTAGCCCCTGCTCAGCAGTACTTGCTTCTCAATAAACACTCTCTTTACACAACCTGAATTTTATTCAGCCGATGTTTCATCTGTCACCTTCCTCGGGGCAGTTCTAACAGGTGTCACATTGCACAGCAGGTGACCTTAATGTAAAATATTTACATATCTACAGGGTTACTGTATCTACAATGCAGTCCCAAACATACAGGAGTGTGATATGTATGTGATTGTCATTTACAGATGGTCACCAAAACTTCAGCTCAATAAAACTGTGTAAAAAGTCTCTTTATTCAGTGACTTACCAAGTTGATGAAACTATTCACTGGCATTTCTTGTTTCTTTTCTCCCCCAGGAGGTTTGAATGGTCGGCCAGAGAAACTGCCTGATGTGTGTTACTCCTGGTGGGTCCTGGCATCGCTGAAGATGATTGGTCGGCTGCACTGGATCGACAAGGACAAGCTGCGGACGTTCATCCTGGCCTGTCAGGACGAGGAGACGGGAGGGTTCGCAGACCGACCAGGAGACATGGTAAGGTCAAGAAAAATGTTGTTTCCTGTTTCCCAACCAACCCTAGCAAAATTAAAACCCACTGACTCTAGCCTTGTTTTAATCAACCACTGGTAATGCTACAAAATCTTTGATCTGACATCTGAATTTCAAATTCTCTGAATTCTGCAATGTCATTTACCAGTAGTGCATTTTCAGAAGCATCTTTTTCTTCAGTAAATCGGATGAAATATTTTTCCACAAGCAAACAGGTAGACGGGTCCTTGAGACAGTCCTGGTGCATTGTTAAACATTATTTGTTGAATCAAATGTAGAAAAGTGCCTTACCTGAAATACTCACACAAAATCTACATCAAGCTGGTGTGTTAGGCCAAAAGGCGGTTATACAGGCTATACAGATACAGAAGCTGGTGTGTTACGCCAAAAGGCGGTTATACCGGCTATACAGATACAGATACAGATACAGATACAGAAGCTGGTGTGTTACGCCGAAACGCGATTATACCGGCTATACAGATACAGATACAGATACAGAGATCAAAGAAAATGGCCAGATCACCAGGGATGATCAAAAGGTGTGCAAACTTTTTGTTGTTGTTTCTCCCAGGTGGATCCCTTCCACACCCTGTTTGGGATTGCCGGCCTATCTCTACTGGGGGCTGCTGAGGTGAAGACTGTCAACCCTGTCCTGTGTATGCCTGAGGACACACTCAGGAGAATAAACCTCCACATCGAACTTCTGTCTAGCTAGAACGGCACAGGCGTTGAATGGCCAAGTAGTTAGGTCAGTGGACATAAAACTTAGAGGTCATGGGTAAGATTCCTGGCAAGACGTTGTGTCCTTGGGAAAGGCACTTAACATGACTTTATTCACTCCACCCAGTTAAAAAATGTGTTCCTGACTTCAGTTTGGGTGGTGAAAGCTGGTAGAAGGAGAGAGATGGGCGCTGCCTTATAAATTATAGTTATAATACTTTGTCCTAGACACAGTGGATTTACAACCAGCTTCTCCTACAGCCTCAAAAAGGCTTTGGAACTACAAATGTACCTTTACCTGTAGTAGCTAGAGTGTAGAATTTCTAGCAGTGAAGTTTAAATCAAAGTTTACTAAGAAGAACATGTATGAGGATGTTAGTTAGCATGACGTAAGAAGTGAATTTATCTGTTGTGACTCTTATAATCCATGTGAAATGTATACTGCTGCTGTGATGTATTAATTCTTCCTAAAAGACAGCACATACGAAGTCTGTTGTAAGACAGCAACTTGTATTTATGTTAAGCATGTGTGTAAGGCTGGCACCAATTTGTGAAAGAAATGTTGCATTTCTACAACTGGCCCAGTTGAATATTGTGCCCAAATATTTGTGATGATAAAGCTAACATAAACTGTAAAGGTTGTAAAATGTCTAAATAGCATCATTATTACAATTGAAATGTACATGCAGTATGTTTTTTAGTTGTGTTTGTGGTAGATCATTACTCTCCAAGCAGAGGTTTGGGTTTTGGGGGTATTTTTAGGCTTTTTTATCGGGGTTTCTCTTTTGCACTGGGTTTGGTGGGAAAAAAATTCAGTGCAAAAGAGAAACCCCGATAAAAAAGCCTAAAAACACGCTAAAAATACCCCCCAAAACCCAAACCTGTGCTTGGAGAGTAGCAGATCATTTCTACACTACAAAAGTACCATACATAACTTATGCCAATGAATGATTAAAACATTAAAATATTGGAGAACCAACACCTATGTCTCCTGGTCTTTACTGTGTTATAATTCATTTCACATTTACTTTATAATTACTGTTGTAAATAGTGACTGAACAGACAGTTAATTGGTTTTGTGAACATTGAAATTACAGAGATTTTGCCAAAAAAGCTAAGTATTCAGTCGCTTGTAAAAGCCGTTTTAAGAATCTTTGTCTGAAAATGATCACATGCAAGATTAAAACGGTTCTTTCCCGATATATTTGTGATACTTAGGCAGTTGGGGTGAGCATCAAGGTCAAGAACAAGAGCAGGAAAGAAAGGGAGTAAAAACCCCATAAGAGCCCATCGCGTTTCCCAACTCGCGAAATGGCCAAAGCGACATACGGGCTCTTTTCGGAACGGGTGCTCCAAAACGGGGGTGTGATAGGGGATGAAGTTTTGCTTTTTCAATCTTAGAAAAATGAAACTTTTTACATTTTCCTACCTCCTTCTTTTTAGAGTATACTCCTTACCGCCTCTACTGTATTCCTACTTATATCACCCATCAAATTTGCTCCATTCTCGATTTATGTGGTAAAACATGATTTTGCGATTAGCTGATCGCTTGCAGAACTGGCCAAATCCTGGCAGAAGCGAAATTTTCGCAGTCGATCTCATTACCATATGAATGAAAACCAAGCAGATGTCAGACGTGTACTATATGGCAATCTCCAGGCAAGTTACGTATACGATTTCACTTTTGACATCTGCTTGGTTTTCATTCATATGGTAATGACATCGACAACGAAAATTTCGCTTCTGCGAAAGATTTTACCAGTTCTGCGAAAGATTTTACCAGTTTTGCGAAAGATTTTACCACACTGCCTACGGAACTTACTTTAGGAATTTATCACTTACCTGGGCGCTTAGATCAACGTGAAGAAACGATACGTTGACTGCAAACTTCACTCAGTGGGTTTTGAAACTCCTTCCTTTACAGTCCACAAGTCTGTAACCTTTGACTCTTTCATATCCCAATTTTCTCGCCTGATGCAAAGAAATGTCGCAATATGTCAGTTTGACTGAATCACCCGCTCATTCCTCTCAAAGGCAAGGCATTTATCTCTTCGCGAACGGTCTCACAGCGACACCTAACAACTTGTATTAGTACTGCAGTAAGAAGAATCGGTAATGCAGCATCTTACCTACATGCTGATTGGTTATCAATGTAATGACTTACATCCAAATAAGGGATCATGAAGAGACCTAACGTAGATGCTGATTGGTCACTACAATTTTGACGTCATTTATGCCCAAATAAGGACAGATGGTTGTCCTAGCCTGCTTTGTTTTGTCAACGCTGTAAGAACAAGAAAGGTGTAAAAAATACACCTAGGCGACGAATTGTATATTATGTAAATTAGCGTATTATCAACTTAATTTATTTTTATTATATGTACGAATTGGAATATTCACTTCATAAGCTACATGTACATATATGTGCCTGGTTATCTACATGTCGGCAATCGACCAATATCGGGTCCCCATTCTTAGCTCGGTGTTTGTTGCTATTGTTTAGATTTAATTCCAATCTTTTATAAATATTTTTAAAGGGATATCTTATGTTTTACAAACATTTCAAACTTGTTCTTAACTTCTTAAGAAATTTCCGTAAATTACAAAACTTTCGAAATATTTTTGAGTCCGCGAACGATATTTCCAATGATTTCTAAAGAAAGGCAACTCGGTTCTACCATTTTTTTTAATTTTTGTAAATGACCCGTGACGAAGTAATTTGCACATCAACACGAAGCGTTCTGTGAGCCAAAAATAGGAATCGTTGATGAACCCTGCGGCGATCCTGCCGTCGGCGAGCACTCGACACGATAGCGGCCAGCCATTGATACTGAAAAACAGTGCCAAACCGTACGCTGCTTTTAATAAATCTCAAACTCTAGTGAAACATCAAATCCTTTCTGTTGTACCATGGTTGTGCAGTCCATCCATATTTCTTGAGATTAAAAATAGGTACCCATTCACAAAAACGCTTGTAAATTCAAGGATCTTTCTCGCACAGTATTACGTAGATCTATTACACGGCGCCGAAACATGTCAAAATACACTCCTTCTTCCCTCTCGTCAAAAACGCCGTCCGTGCAAGTCATGTGTGCTTCCAAATAAGGAAGTCCGCGGAAACCGCTGGCAGCTCGGGCGATCGCGATCTTCGGCCTGCCAGGGCCTGGGCCTGCAGGGCCTGCATCGGCGCGTGTGACGTCATGATCGGGCTCATTTGTATGCAGGCGTCTACCTTTTGACTACACGGACTACAAAGGACGCCGCCAGAGAGCGTAAACCCAGATGCCGCGGGTGAAACTGCACATCAAGTAAATACGAAGTTTGGCTGGTAAAAAAAGAAATTAAAATTAAGATCTCAGTTGATTGCCACTTTCGAAATTTTTGCAAATTATGACATTTTCGAAAACATGCTACTCAAGTACGTACATTTTTATAATAATTTCAGAATATTTATAATATTTTCAAAAATAAAAACATTGAGAAAATATTTAAGGTACTATTTTAAAAAACACGCGGTGACTTGGAATGGACTCTATAAGAGCGCACGTACAGCACATGAATCCAGATAAAATCTATCAAAAGTTGTAAGACAGAAAAGGACATACTACTTGTGATGAAAGCTCCTTGTATAAAGTCAGTAGGAACAAAGATCACTGGATACCGGTACGGTGATCATTATCTAGTCTACCGAAGCGATCCTTTTCTCCACCGCTGCAAATTTTACATGCCCGGTCAAGCGGTCGTTGACCTTATATAATAGAAAGCAGGACAATATAGTTTACGTGCGCTCTGGACTCTGGATCGATACGCAAAAACCATATGTATATCATATACATTATCATTATGTGCATAACATAGCATGGTCTGTCGCTGTGTGTATATTCTGTAAGGGTAGGAATAGGCTATCAAACCCAAACCTTTTCGCAGGTACGGGATTGTCAGAAAAATGTTTATGAAAGCCGTTATGAACCCCCAATGCTACATATATAGGCCTGGCGTGCTTGTAGGTGCTTGTATTATATCCTGGATGCTGTCCGTGTGCTGGTTCGCAAACAGGCCACGGTCACGAGGTCTGGTTTATAGATGTGTTGTCCGCCACACACGTTTGCAGGGACACCAACATGCATCCAAGGTTGATAAATAAATAAATAGAGTGACCACAGGTACACTCGCCAGAAACGTACAGAACGACCTTATAGAGGTAAAGTTGATCCGCGAAGATCAGGCGGTTCCACAAGTGTCATCTGTTGTTAAACGTTGTTCTGTCGAATTGAACGTGTTGCGGTGCGTAGATAAGAGCTCCTTGGTGACATTCGTTGTTTCCGATTCCGAATGCAGAAATGTATGTCCAGATACTAATATTTGCTATACACTTGATCTGGCCTGTCGTTCACAATTGACTTTTTCAGTGACTATGTCTTTACATAGCCTCTACCAGACTCACAACGCTGGTTATAATATAGTAGAATATTTGCCAGGGGAGTTTGACCGCCTTGTAGGACCTAGTAGGTTTGACTGGCCTTCGGAGGGAAAGATTTATAAGGGGTCGATTAACTACCTCCTCGCGGCCGGACTCCCTTGGCCAATTTTAATCTCTTTTTTCCCCGAATTCTACGATCCGTATTCCCGTAGAAAGGCCTGGTGGATGCTAGTTTTTATATGCCTCAAATCGCCGCGTCACAATGTAACGTTGGATGCACTTTTGTCCGTTTTTGTTGGCACATATTTTTCTTTGTAGCGGTTTTAGGACAAACAGTAAAAGGAAACACAACAGAAGAAGAATAAAGACACACATTATTTTTATAATCTTCCATGGGTTTCATCGTTATAGTAAATAAATGGAACCCGTCATTTCTTTTCGGCAGCGTTTTGGAATTTGAAAAGGCTTGCGCTGTGGACATGTGATCATGTTGGTAATATAAGGGGCTTTACGTTTTCAGGTTTCGGGGAAGGTTTCTGTTTGTTTACACCGCCGCTACAACAACAAGCTTGACCCCTTTCGCACCATCCCATACAGTGACCCTGGCCAGATGGCCGGAGGTTGCCTCGCACAAGTTGTTGTGGTCAGCAGAAATGTAGTTAGATAATCGTATTCGTTGTCTTGGCCAATCAGGCGTAATTGTCTTACAATTAGCAATATTTAATCCCTCCCATATATTCCAAAAATGGACAGAGCTAGCAAAACAAGTTAATAAGGATGTGTCCTCGTATAAATATCACCGCGACCTACTCGCAGACTCATTACGCACGGAAAAAAAACCCCACGTCCATCGGCGGCGTGACCTCACGACCAGGCCGCGGGACGTGGAGCGCGGGTAGCCCGGCCAATCTGGAGCAGCGCACGGGCGTAGAATGCAGGCAGCCCCGGCCAACAGCGCGCGGGCGTGGAAAGCGGGTGTCCCGCGGCCCGGTCAACCCTCGCCGGAGCAGCACGCACACTTGGAAGGCCCCCGGATTTCAGTCGTGCAGGCACGGAGGTAAGCCCAAACTTGAGTAGGTTGAGACTGTTCTTTTAATATTGGAACCATGCCATATGTAGTGTGTATTTGTGTCCACGGTCTTGGTTCATGTTGCCTTCTTACGTGTACCATCAAACGGTGTATTATTTTGGTTTAAAGTTTTTTTGTGTAATGTTATGATTTTTTTTGTGTGCATGTAACATGTAAGTTGTTCCATTTCGATCAGTCCGTTTTTCCATGCAGTCGTTCAGGCTAGGTGACATTGTCTCTGAGCGGCCCCACGTTCTGCTCGGGTACCGTCTCTTATTTTGAAATTTAAAGAATTGTTGTTCACACCGGCGTCCTGACGGTTCTGATACCGTTTCGTCCAAATGTTTTCCTTCGCTGTCAATCGTTGTTGTAAAGCTTGCGTAAATAACTCATTAATTTCGTTTCTACACTATGATAACCCTTTATACTATTCTAAATGACGTACCCACTAAACTTAGCCTGTTGCGATTCTCTGGCTTAAAGTAAGTGTTGCCCCCAGCTTCTGACAACAGTGATTTTCCCCACAGTTCCCGACAATGTCAACGTGAAAAGTTCTAGTGGTTAGGGGGAAATTGGGTCACAGAGTAAAGATGAAAACATTCGCCTTTACATTTGTTGAGGATGTAGAACTGGTTTCTTAAGATTATACAAGAAGAAGCGCAGGCAGGCGTCCATGACCGTAGATATACCGGGGAGGCTACGTATATACGGTGCTAGGGCGAACAATCAGTTCCTTGACTCTGCTTCATACGTTTTGAGACTGACAGTTCATCGTTTTCAGAAAAATCCGCGCCTTGTACCGTCACATTCATGTATGCCCTGCTATCACCATGGTACATCGCATGGATCATTTCATTTCCCAACAGCCACAACTATCAACTTTAAAACAATCATTTTAAAAACTTTGCTTTGACTGATGTTGTGGTTTGAGTAAACAAGGAAGCGATTCGAATCTGCTGTCTCGGCGGGGTTGATTGGACGGGGTGAGAGTATAGAAGAAAATTCGCCCTTTGTCTGTACAATAATTATATACTAGAATAGGGTACTTGCTCATGAAATCTTTTGGAACTTTCCCTACTATTGCTTTTTGTCGGCTTATAATATCAGCGGTTATAGGAAAGGTGAGTTCGCTATAATTAGAAATGCATAATGCGGATTCGATGGCCAGTAAGCGGTAAACCATACGGGTCTGTTGGTTACATCATCGTACGATATTAAGAAAGTACGTGGCTATTATTTTGACACACCCGTTGTGGATATAAAATATTTCTCTTTCCTTATTGACACACCCGGTGTGGATAGGAATTTTTTCTCTTTATCGATTCACTTGGTGTGGATATAAAAAATTATTTTCTTATTGACACACCCGACGTGGATGTATTTTTTGTTTATTGACAATCCGGTACATCCTAACTCTAACCCTTGATGATTGATGCACCTACACTATTTGCTGCTCTGTACGCATGTTCTCCGCGGTCACGCTGAACGCTGTCGAACTATGCAGAATAACGCAACCCTAGAATATAACAAACTTCGTTAAATTGTTCTACACTGTTTCTTTCAGCTCTACATGACGACAAACACAAAAGTTACTCAAGAATACAAGACAGAAGAAGTGGAACAAAATACCAGGTAAGTGCCTAACCATCCTTATTATACGCAATATTGTAAATAATCACGATAGTTAGGCAATGTTCGCATCTCTATAGTACTTCTTTCACGATAAGCTGTGTGAGTTTTGAAAAGTACCATGCTTTCTATGATTAATGATTGCTGGGAAAACAATGTAGCCTGGGTGCCAGGCCCCCGTGCCATGATTCAGTTAAATTACATGATAGGACTATTAAAGCATGTGGCATATGTAATTGCGAACGAGAGAAACACAGGCAGATATTATGTAAATTAAGATTTAATTTGCATAATTAATGAGAAATTCAGCAATGTTGTAATTCAGCAATGGTAACTGCCTGGAATTTCATACCTAGGGCATTTGAAAGTTAGGTGAAGGTAAACATCATTAAATCACATAACTTATTCAAATATGGACCTCATTTGCTTTTCTCTTTTTGTGTCCACAGGTAAATTTCGCAATGTCTCACCCTGAGATGCAGACTACAGCAGGGATTCACTGGCAAGCACGAAGCCCAGTCAAGGAAGGATCGGGGTGTGCATTCATGTTTTGCACGCAAGAAGATTGAAAAACAAGCATTGAATGCAGCAGCATCGTGAAAGCAAAGAAAAATATGAATAAAAAAGCAAGACTGACACAAACACGCATGGTGGAAAACACACAAAACATCATCATTAGCACACAGTTAAGTTATAAATAAAAGCCCAGCATCATATGGTTGAAGCTAAAAACTTACTTAAAATATTATTCTTTTAAGCTTGAATATGCTGCTCCTTGTTCTTTCTTATGAGCAACAAAATTATTCTGTTTTATTTTATTCTATTTTTTCTCTCTTGATAGAAGAGAACATATTTGAAATATCAATAAAGACAATCATTAATATTCTGTGTGCAAAAAGCCACAGTTGGCCGGAAAAGGTGCCTTTTGCATGCATGGTAACATAGGCCTTTCCTACTTATAAAGTATCCAGTTATCGACTGACAACTAAGCCATTAAACTTTACACAAAAGACTTCTGCAAAAGACCAACCATCACTTTAGATATCCCTACTTGCTGTGTACAAACACAGTCATTCAAACAAGTAATTCCCTAGGGAATGCATTGACGGAATTTTTAGAATATTTTCAACTCGATCGCAGTACTATACTAACGGCTCCGCCCCTGAGGCGTCGCCAAAAATATGGCACTACAAGAGGGAATTTTGTTTGACATTGAGTCTATTTCACCTCCAGATCAACACAACAGGACTGCACCATAATGTTGGCTAAATCTAAGCTGCTCCTCTTACAGCAGTGATTGTTTTTGGCGCCTACAAGGCGTTTTTGATCCATGAAGATTTCAATGATATGTAAGGCCATGTTAACTTCATTATATGGATGACATCCTCCGGGAACCCCAAAATTGATGCGCGCGTGCGAATAAAAAAAAAGTTTTGCAAAAAAAAAAGTTGTTTTCATTATGAAATCTACGTGGTCATGAGGGTTGAACAAATGGGACAGAATATGGTTTGGCGAATAATCTTGTCTTCAAGTTCATTTCCTTACAATTTCGTCTTTTACAGTAGGGTACGATTTACAGTAGGGTTGAAAACTTTTTTTTTTTGGAAACGGCCGAAAATTCATGCGCGCGCGGATGTCATCCATATAATCAAATCAACATGGCCTAATTAAATTGCAGGGAGAGGGACCGGAATGGGATTCTGTAGATGAACTCTTATCATTTATTATAATAAATCTTGCGAACCAAACTAGACTGGACTTAGGCTACAAATGTACTGTGTTTGCCCCAGATGTATTGTGCAAGCACGTCTAACCCTCGAAAGACGGGGAACAACAGACGATAAACCGGACAGTGAGTGAGTGAGATTGCCTACATGAGTAAAGAGAGGAGGGAAGATTGTAACTTTAGCTGGAGGATTGCCACAGTATACACCCAGTGTTATTTTGACACTTTATTGGAATGTACATGTTCATTTCAGGCTTTACTACATGTATATAAACAAATTGAATACAAACTTACTACATGTATATTACAAAGCAAGCAATGTTGGGATCTGCAAACATGAAAAGTAAACCAGAACAGGTACATTGTTGACTTGTACTTCTAACAGTACAGAAACTGATCTACATCATTATCCACTTAGTCCTAGGTTCAATAGATCTGCAATCCTGACACACTTTATCATGTACATGTACGTGTACATTTACAGGTCAAGACACAAGAGACTTGAACCACCTGTTATCTGTAGTACCTTATCACAAGATGATCACAAACCGCCAATTTTATCCTAACTCTACTACATTTTAACCCTTCTATGCTACATTTACTGCAAGCACACAGGTCATACTGCCAAACATACTACAAAAAAAACATTTTTTCACTTCTTTGATATTTTGAGATCTTTCTTTTTTGGTGCTGCCCAACGCAGACAGGACGTGTCAACCATGATGGGCGGGCGGCGGTACTGGGCGCTCTTCAGATGCTCCTCCACCAGTTTGGCCGTCACACAGATGACGTGCTGACCCTTCCAGTACTTCACCATGTTCATGGACTGTAGTGTGGAGATGATGTCATTCTCTGTGATGCTGGTCATCTGACTGTAAAGGGACAAGTAGCCATATGATGAAAGAAACAGACTAAAAACTAGAAAGGTCGCACTTGCAAAGCAAATATGTCATGTTTACCTTCACTAGCCTAACAAATTACTGCTGTGTTAATTCTTACTCAAACACATTGATATACATATATGGTGACCAGCTTCTGTTCTGCCACTTGCTACATAATGTAATCCAAAACCACAGAGTGCCTGCTACAGGACCAGTTACCATGTTGACAGCCGTCTGGTCTAGGTCATTGACATTATTTGTTTCAAACAGAAGAATAATAAACAGGGGAAAGAACAATTTGTTTTCCTTCTGTGAAGGTATACATATATATCAAAGAAATTTAAAAAGGAGTTGCATAAGGCTAGGTTGTTGAATACCACAGACTAACAATTTGACCATTTTGACATCACGAGCATGCTAACCTCAAGTCTTTAATGGACAGTGTTCCCTTGAAGTCCCTGAGGATCTCTAACAGTACCCAGGACCAGTAGCTGCGGTAGCTGAGCTTCCCCAGGTCAGACAGAGGCTTCTCTGGGGAACCGACTCTGTGTTCCAGTTTGGACAGTTCATAACCTGAAATACAACAAAAGTCAATATTACTTCAATACAAGCAGTACTACATGTACAGGTAGGTCTTTTTTATGGTTGGGTGCCGGATACATTACCATATGAATGGAAATGAAGGCGGTTTCAGGAGGGAAAGACTGGCTGAATGAAACAAGAAGTGATATATATGATGCAATTCGTCCCCACATAAAAGGATATTAAAACGGACTACATTATTCATTGCTAGGACTGCAAACCACACAATTCATCCAATTTGATTATCTCCATCTAATATATTTCCTCAACATCAACCAGAATAGTCTACTTTAATCTAATATAAAAATCCCTATCCCAAAATTCATCTTGAATCAGTTTTCAGGGACAAAGAACTTACTGAATGCGATGAGGAACTTCCCGTAACCTTTCCTCTGGAACGGCGGCACAGTCATGATACAGGCCAGGTTGTTGCCATCTGGAGATTCTTTCTCCTGCAAGAAACATAAACTCTGTGTCTTAGTAAAAGTAAGCAGGATATTCAGTAGACTCCATTTAGGTCCTGAGAAAGGTAGCTGGGGAGTTACATCTAACCTTTTCTGAATAACTTCTGAAAATTTGATCTCTGTTTAACCTGTGTGTTGAAATAAAGTTCAACATTTTACCATACTTTACCATAATGCTTTGTCACAAAAAAAATCATTTTTCTTTATCAGGATCAGTGTTTTAGTCAGTGTCCATCTTTCTGTCTGTCATTTGACAAAATTTTGCCCAATTTGTCATCTTTGATAGCCAAAATGGGCATGTAAAGATGACATGAAAAGCGATGCCATTAAACTATTAATAAGTTAGTCTACCAGTAAAATTTGCCACTCAAAATGCGGAAAATAGCATCTCAGAGGGTCAGGATTTCAAATTTTTGATTGGCAGGATTGCCACTCCTATGCAGTTCTAGTGTAACTCTAGCTCACCTTGGAGAAATACCCCACCAAGTGAGCCCCCTGTTTGTCCACCTCTGTGAGTATGTAGAACATGAAGGGTTCCACGTCAAAGTACAGGGTCTTGTGGTCCAGGAACAGCTTGGCTAGCAGACACAGGTTCTGACAGTAGATCTGAAACAAATCCAAACACAAACATGTACTCCAGGTATACAGTAAGACATACACATATATATGCATGCATAACTGCATTTCAGCCTTGAATTTTCCCAGGAGATGTTACAGGTAAGGTAAAGCATGCATCTTGAACTGAGGCGAAGCATGATGCTTTTTCAAATAGCTACCAGTGCAATGCAGCTTTGCTACAGCTCGCATTTATAGCCAACTACACCAGACCACTGCTACTCTTCTAGATAAGTGTGTTGGGTTCTTTTTTTGCAGAGGTTGGGCACTTATGCCTGAAGCTCCCTCATACATGGGGCCACCAGATTTACATCATCAACTGAAATGACTGCAGTCCGTCAACCCTAACCCTCAGCCCTAACTAAGCAAAACCTGGAATCAAACTCATGCCTGCAGGTCCACCATAACTGGATCAAAATCCTAGGATAACAAGCTACCCTCACCTTGTCTCCTCGCCCATCTACTTCATACACAGAGATGGTCCCCTTCCTGTAGATCTCTTTCCCGGGGGGCTGTCTGAACGTGCATTCTCCCTGTGTTCAAAAGAAGATGGTGAACTTTCCTCAATATGAAGTGCTTCTATACATTAACACAAACAGGACCTGTAGCAGATACTATACTGATTAATGATACAACTTTCTCACATAAAAGCCCATTCTTTGAAATGAATTACCATTTTCTGTGCTACAATATTTTGAAAAGACTTCCTCAGCAGTGAGTTGATCACAAATACATTTATGAATAAAAAATATTAGAAAATCATTCCTTAAGTGCAAATATTATGGCAACAACCACTACTTGTCATTGTGATGTCATTTGAGCATGCCGCAAGTTCCTACTTACCATGTGGTGTCTGTATGTCTTCTCATACTTCATGTACTTCAGGCAGAACTCACAGATGTACAGCCGCGGGCACTTCCCATAATCCTCTGGGAAGGGTGAGAAGTACCAGGCATCTATCTCATACTTTCCGATCTGTACCTTGTCCACGTACTTCACTTTTGTGATCTGAGGGAGAGAGAAATGGAACAATCCATACCATTTCAAGTCCATTATCAGAACGACATGAAGTGCTTCAAAAGGATTGGAACCAGAAATCAAACAAAATAAAATGATAAAAAACCTGTTACTTACAGCTTCATGCTCCTTTTCAAGTGCTGCTGTGGTCGGGTCCATCTCTGCGTAAGTCTAGCAAAAATATACCAGACCAAGTCAACAAGTGTTTAATATAAAGCATCAAGTTTGCCTTATTTTTTTATCATAGATGTATCAGAAGAAAATATAGCACTTCCAGGATGTAGTTTACGTAAGCATAAAACAGTCTTCTTTTGTCATCCTCAACTGAGGTGAATACTCATTCAAAGTGAAATTTGACGAACACATATTTAACAATGTAACATCACAAACTAATTTTAAACATGGCTATAACAGAACAGTTCAGTGAGTCTACATGGTAAACAACACTGTCCTTCCTCCCACCTTCTGTACATGGTTGATTTCATCGTGCCGTCTCTTCTGGTTGCGCGTGATCTTTCTGTCGGGTTGGTCCGCAAAGTCGTACAGCGACTCCTCTGCGGTCCGTTTCTTCCTACTGCTGTGAGACTGCACGTCAATCCTGCACAGGTCCACCCACTCGTCCAGACGTCTGTTAACTACAAACACAACAGCAGGATATCATTTTATGTAATGATTGCATCCAATGCAACTTCAGGGTGACAAACTGGAAATTCTGAATATGGCAATCTGTATGATATTGACAGGTACTGCCCCACATTTGATCTAGCACATTTGAATCGGTATTTCATACTTTGGGCATTTAATTTAAGGCAGCATACAGATCATCATCATCAGGTTGGGTGATCAAAACAGCACATAAACAAGTCCCAAATAAGATGAGACATTTATTTTCTGGGTGTTTTTTTTTTTCTGGAATAAGAAATTCTTCATGTTGTTTTGGGGCAGAAGGTTTTTTTTTATGTTTTTGTTGGCGTTGTAACGTTATGTCACATTTTTAAAGCATAACATTAAAATTCAAGAATTTGCCTGTTTCATAATTTTTACACTATCAATTTTCATAACCTTGCCCATAATGATGTGACTTACAGCCTTTATAATGAACGTAGAACTCCATCCGTCCTCCCTCATGCTCATTCCGTCTGGTCTGGATCACTTCTGCATCATCTGAAAGTGATGACAAGATTTTACATGACAACATGATGGTGCATTTGTTATAATTTTGTCCCTATGAAATAGTATCACCACCCTCTAGTTACCCTAGTTTGTATCGATCACGTTATATTTCCAACAACTTCTATACTTTTGGCAATGGATGTGTGGGAGCTTGTATGCAACTTGCACACAAACCGAAGCTACAGGGTTCTTAAATTGTGTTCTACTCTCAACCTAAAAGACTGGAAGCGAAACAAAAACCATGACCATCATGACCATGGTGTGTTGTGCGGTACTTACGCCACGTGCCATCCGAGCGTCTGACACTGTACGTCTCGCTGATCTCGGGGATGTGGTCATTCCCATTTTCCTCGGTCGGCTTGAGATCCTTCTGTAGGTTCACTTGGACCTTTTCGGCTAAAGAATGGTTCATTTCTTGCACATTTTCTCGGACGACGCTATCAGTCTGCTCCGCAGCAGCCATTTTGGAATTTCTGTGTTTAGGGACCGACCAAGAATGAAACAGTTTTGGGTGTCACTATTGGTTTCACTTACCACAATCATGAGAAAATCGGGATGGATAACTACAATATCTTCAGAAATAGCGATTTATATTTATCAGTGGTCATGGGTCATTGATACTGATATCAAAATATCAGACAGTTATGTTACTCATACCACTATAACATATAAAACGGACTACCCCTGATGGAAACGTAATGTCGCAAAATCTCGCGAGACTTTATGCGCCATTTTGAGGATCATCTTCGAGGGTCAGCATCTCCATCGGGCTGACCTCTAAATTTTCGCTCACAGAAAGCCGGAGAAAAAGTGAGATGCCAACTCTTGATCAGCTCCCAACCTATGAAGAACTCGATGTCGATGAGGTGAATGTCACCTCCGCCGTACTGAAGGCTGGAGCCCACCATTATGGCAAATACTGCGACAAAGTCAACAAGGTTAGTGGAGAAACATGCATGAAGTGCTGTTCAAAGTGTAATCATTTTATGACACATTTTATGACATATACATACAGTAAACGGATGGATGAACTAAGATCTCATATATACACATAGTTGGGGTTCACGACCAGCCAATGTGCATGTCTGGCTCCATACGATTTTTGCCAATGACTATGCATCTGAACTTGACCCAGAGATCTTCTCTGTGTATCTGTCTGTGTGAGTATTTAGACATGTGTGTAAGAAATCATGTGAGTGTGGCTGTGTGTGTATGTGTTTATGTGTATTATGTTTATGTGTATTGTGTTTGTTGATGTGTATTGCTCCTTCATGATCAGTAAGTTGCTACTATATGTTTTGTCTGTGAGGATGGCAGAGTTACAAGCAGTAAGTAGCAGTAGCAGAGTAGTCCACAATCTCCAAGCAGATCTTTCGGTGGCTGACACACAGTATCAAATTGGCAAGACAATATCAAAGTTCAAACTGACCAGGCAGTAAGCGAAAAAAGATTACCAGTACACAAAAAAACAAAGCCTGATTAAAACATTTGAAAATGCATAAAAAATAGAAGCCTAAACCTCTGCTTGGAGAGTAAAGAAGTAGTCAATTGATTTCTCTTGAATGTAGAATGTTTGATGTAATATATGAACATGTATGTCCTTTTATTGTCCTAGGAGTTCATGCTGTGTCGATGGGAGGAGAAGGACCCCCGGAAGTGTCTGAAGGAAGGCCGGGAGGTGAATGAGTGTGCCCTGGACTTCTTCAGAAAGATCAAAGGCACCTGTCACGACTCCTTCACAGAGTACTGGACCTGTCTGGACAACACCAAGAACATGGTAAGGAATTTTGGCGATGGAGTTTCACACATAAGACTGCATGTGCGTAGTATGAAGCATGATAATAATTCGTCAAAGGTGGACATGTAAAGATTCTGGGGCAGAGTTCAAATCTGACCTGAGTTAGAGTATTATAATAAAATGCATGGTAATATGCCGGAATGCTGACAGGTGCAATGGCCAAGTGGGTAGAGTGCTCGCCTTGCATTGCATTCGGTAGGTCGTGAGTTCGATCCCCGGCTGTGTCATACCAAAGACTTCAAAAATGGTACATACTGCTTTCTCTGCTTGGCACTCAGCATTTGGAAAAGACCACTACCACTAGTACCAGTGGACTAGCCCCCTGCTGTAGTGACTGCTGTGTGTGGCCCAGGGCTTATGAACAGAGATGGGCGCCGTCCTATGCGTCATTTGATGCGGGAAGGCTCTTTAACTTAACTTTAATATGCCGGAATTGCATGATTGTCACAGTTGTCAAGTTTTGCTGATACCACGGTATTTTCCGGCATACTTTTCTTGGCGGAGTACAAATCCGCACAACTGAAGCGCTTTTCTTTGTTAACAGAGACTGCGACATTGCCGTAAGCAGCAGGCAGCATTTGACCAGTGTGCGCTGGACAAGTTGGGCTGGGTCAGACCAGAGCCTGGGGAACTTTCTCAGGTTAGTCAAATACAGTATGCTGTATCACTGTTCACTCCCTCATGTATATATATGCCTGATGAGATCTGATTCTACATGGTTCTACTAACTCAATACCACCTGCATTTTACCTGCACCCAATAATAAAACCTGCCACGGACCATTACATTTAGGTGTACGTGGATTGTTGCACCTATTATTATGAAGTATAATAAAAATTATAGCAATGGTTTCTGAACTGTTTTTGTTTGCACCATACTTCCTAAAATCTGAGTGGTGCAGGTAATTTTCAATGTTACCTGCATCAGTGCAGGTATGCAGAAAAAAGTATTTTGTAACCCTGAATAAAGAACCTTCTTATATTATACCTCACTAAGTTGTTACTTTCTGTGATGCACAGTTGTCAACTTCATTGTTTCATTCTCTCTTGTTCAGGTGACCAAAGTAAAGACAGAACGTCCCAAACCAGAGAACGTATACAAGTCCCGCCCCCGCCCTGAACCCAACCCTCCTCTGGACCCTGCACTGGAGCTGAAACCCTCCCACGGTGGCAGCCGATTCTTCTTCTGGTGGTGATGAGTGTTTAAAAATAGTCCATATCTCAGTTTAGGTACAGGCCAGACAAAATCAATTTCTTGTATAACAAATTCGGTTTGTGACAATGTTGAGAAATAAGTTTCGAAAAGATTTGTCTGATCATAAGGCAATTAATATTGTAGTGTTACACAAGAGTCAACTGTATTCTTCCTCATCTCATGTTTATCATAAAACTTTTAGTTCCATATCGTGTGTGGTGACAAAATGTATCTTATGTACCCATTGGCCATTCTAGTCATTTTGATGCACATTCAGGTAAGCCATTGCCTTTCAGGTAAGAATTTATAAAGTGGGTTATAAAATGTGTTACACAAGAAATTTAATTTGTGTGGCTATACCTGTACATTTATGAAAACATCAAACTGAATATATAACATGCATATTTGAATGTTATGGTTATATACTGACCATTTGAATCTGTATGGAGTAACTGTAAGAGAGTATTTGACTTAATAAAGATAACGGTTTTCTGTGAAATTGTTTCCTGTGTTTTTTAGAAGTACATGTGCTGTATGATGTTATTGTTGCTATCCACACTGTTCAACTATTACCGCTGAAACAATTCAATAATCTCTCAAAACACCAGTACACTTACAAATCTTTATTCATAAAAAGTTGCATTAAAAATATTACAGGGTATGCTATATCTAAAAGTAAAATATCAATAATCAAGATATTAACATTAAAAAAAGATGGTGACTTGACCACAGAGAGGCAAACAAAGATCCTACAGAGACATTCCCTCAGCAATCCTGCTCATTCTGTAGTTAACGTATATACAGACCAAGGTATGGTGATGTACAATGTTTAGGATTGCTTTATATAACTGTCATGTAAAAGATACACATGTACTTGTGGATGGTAAATTTGTGGGGAAACCATAGGCTAACGCATGTTTTAGAAAGCTTGGACTGTAGAACAATCTAAAAAAAAAGGATGCAGCAGCAAAAAAAATGTGACAGAGAAATTTTAGGGTAGTGTTAAACATCCCTACCTTCATGAAAAGATTATATAAAAAAGGAATAAAAAAAGCAATGAAACAAATTCCTTCAGACTATGCCTGTGAGGCAAGAGTGATTTTAAGTTTATACCGCCGCAAAAAAAAAGTAAAAATAAAAAAACATCTATGGACCATCTTATGATTTTCATGGCTTTGTCATTGTGCAAATATTTCAAGGTATTCTATCAAAATAAAAACAATCTAGAGCAAAGATGTCAATGTTAGTAAAGTTAAGTTCAGAGATAGTGGGTCTTCAAACTGAATGATTTGTGAAATCCATTCAATATCCACACATCATAATATAAAAGAGATAAATTTATCGTATAAAAGAGATAAATTAGTATACATATATATATATGTATGTATAAAAGAACACACTGAAAATCAGAGATCACTGAGTCACGTAAACCCATCAAAAGGCTTTAAATTTGTGATATCAACACAAACTTTTGGCAACTTCTTGCTGTTACATGCACTGACCTGTCTTTGGTATTACAGACTTTAACCTTCAGCATGCTACAGGTAATGTGCCCTGATGTGTGTATAACACAGCATGCTAAAGGTTAAAATATACCATTCAGTTGAACGTTTGTCCTAATCACAATGGTAGGGCCAGCCAGAGAGATGGAATTCACTGTTAGCATTAAGTACAAGTACAATATGTACCTTCAATTATTATTATGTAATGTCAGTCCTCTCTAAAAGAGAATTGTCTATGAATATGTGTATCATTTGTTGAATGGAATGGCAGTTTGAGTGGTAACTTGGCATCATAGAGCTCCACTAGGCATAGTACGTCTCCTTCAGGGCTGTTCCCATATACTGTGCGTGGAAGCCTTTCTTGTTAATGGTATCGTCTGTGCGGAAGCGAACAAGCAGCGAATCTCCTCGTGACACAATCACGTCAGGGGTCTGCAAGGCAAGGGAAGAAATCATTATTTTGAGTAGGTTGACAGATACATGTACATAGGAATGCAAAGCTGGAAAAACACCACCTACATTGACTATATACATCAATGAGAAGCAGTACTCCAGTCAGAAGGTTTGAGAAAGATGTCTGTTAGGCAGCAAAATGACAAAGACATAGCAGGAAAAAGACGTAGCAAGAGACATAGCTGGCTGTGAAAAAGAAAACCTCAATATCCAACCTGATCAAATTATTGTCAGAAGCTCATTACTTGTTTCATGTTTTTAACTAGCTGCTAGACCAAGATGAAAACTTGCTGCACAGTGTGCCTGTGGGCACAGGAGTACCTAAGGTCTAAGGTAAGGTTATGGCTTGTGTCAAACCAGATGTCGCTAATTCAATTGAACAAGAGTGACTTACCTCTGCTCCACAGAAACGCCCCAGTTTTTCAGCTGAATCATCGTAACCATCAAAGATCTCCACATAGTCATAGCCACATGTGGTTTCATCTTCAATTTCAAAGGACTTGAAGGCCAGCCTGACTGTCTGGCCCTGTCTGGCAGTGATTGTCCAATCACACTCCTCCTGCTGCCCGTAGTTGTTGTCTCCGTACTGCGCGTGTGAGAACAGGTCTGTGACTTGCTCGGTAGCCAGCAGAGTGCCTCCACATACTGTAGGCAAAGGGGGATGCCAAAGGGAAAATTATGACAGTTTATGCAGATGACAACAGTCAGCATGACACATCCTGGAAGGATTAATCTGAAAGCCCACATTAATTCAATTCCTTGGCTCTCATCAGAAAACATGAGGCAGGCTAAACCAAAAACCAAAAAGTTTAATTCTTGGGGCACTGGTTCCTAACCTAAATGTATAGATATAGTATCTGTACAGTCAGTACCGGTATAAGTGCCCTTTGGCATGACACACCACCTTCACAGGTGCACGGTGCAGCAGCAGCTGCCTTTACACTGAACACCCAACCTGAGCACATCTAAACCAGTTTCTTAGTCATTTATACATCATGTATAGTCCCAGTCCCACTCTCACCTGTAGTGTGCAAGGCAGAGAACCCTTTCCTTTGGACGGAGGCATCTGAGAAGAACTTGATGAACATGTGGTTGGAGTTGGCGACGACCGGCGGAGGCTTCTTGTTGCCGCAGTACCGTCCCAGAACCGGGTCGTCCGCGGAGTGGCCGTCGTACACCTCCAGGTGGTCATACGCACACTCCTGGTGCTGCTCGATCTCAAAGTCATTGAACATCTGGAAAATCAAGGATCATTCTGTAAGAGGGTCTGCATGGGGTGATCCTGGCAATGCTTTTCAAAAAAGTTGGCAATGCTTAACGGTAAATTCAGGAAAGCATGAATACAGGATAACAAATAACATGCTACATGGAATTAAAAGTGACCAATTTCAGTAGCTTGCAGGCCTAATTGAGAGAGACTGTCATCCCCACACGTGCACTAGGAACTGACCAGTTTTATCCTGTGTCCAGATGTGGCCAGAATGTGCCAGGTACACTCTTTCCTGGCAGGATACTTGTCAGGCCAGTTGGGACTGGTTATTTCTCCCGTGGCAGCGTTGAGCTGATGTTTACACCCAGCTGTAACATAAATTTACATGACAGGTTACTGAGGAAAAACATAAAGCATTGGACATACTATTATCACATATAGTCATCACATAGCCTTTTTATAGAATCCAAGGTAAGGATTTATTGTCACGTTGGAGTGACATACATGTAAAAGATATCTTCTGTAACTACCGGTATCTGCCAGGTGAATACTTCTGATCTTTTCAACCTACAGAATACACTAGAATGAACTTTATTGCTCGACAATCGTACATGGTACAATGTGTGGTAGTAATACAACAATACTACAAAACTTATTACATTTTATTATATTTCTTACTACAAACTACTATCGATACAGTATATGAGTTACAATATGTTCATGTATTGATGATATGGTCTCGCTTATGAAATTAAGTGTACAGAAATTGGCCTACGTAAGCACATATGGTAGTTGGACATGACAAAAATTCATGGTGTTGTATTTTTTACATGTCATGTCTGGGAGGCAACCTATGAGCAGATAGGAACATGTTAGAGGTGTGGGAACTTGCCTTCCTTGCAGTCATGAAGGTTCTCATGTAGCGTGAAGCCGTTGCGACATCTGCACTCGTAGCTCCCCAGCGTGTTGACACACTCGTGCTGACAGCCTCCATTGTCTACTGCACACTCATCCTTGTCTGGGTGTGCACAAGGGTTACACAATCTTAATCACAGTCACACTTAACATCTGAAGAGATTGAGCAAACTTTCTGGCCTGTTTGACCCCTTGAGCCCAGATGGCCAATAGGTTTGGAGTAATAAAATGGAAGAAAGTGCTCAGACTGGCATTTTAGAACTCTTTATACTTATATATATGTAACCTTCAATAATTCACAAGTGCTTTAGAACATTAGATATATGTACTTAGAACTTGGGAGGATTATCTTTTATTTGATCATTATGATTATATCTTTTTATCACTATCCATTAGATAATTGTGTTTGATTATAGACCAAGCCCCTGCCCTGCTCACCTCAGTCAAAAAGTACAAAAATAAAATAAAAATGTAAGTACGCAAAAAAAGGAACCACTATGCATCCACTCTCTGATTGGTTGAGCTGCTAATTTGATTGACAGCTGGGATCAATCAATGTGTTTTCAGTGGATGGTACACACCTGAGAAGAAGGTTGCATGGAAGCCTTTCTTGGACACCGTGTTGTCAGACTTGAACTCCACACGCATGTTGTTACGTGAGGATGTGACTGACTCGGGAAGTTCAGATCCACAGAAGCGTCCCAGGACGTCAGACTCAGGGGACAGTCCACTGCGTACTTCCAGGGAGTCATACTTACACACCTGGGATACATGAAAAATAAACATTTGAATAATTGTAGTACATTTGTATATGAAGGATTAAACTAGTACATACACACAATGAGACAGTTCAGCTAGAGTAGCTTTCAGATAGATTTCAGATAGATTTCAGACATCCACAATTTTCCATCAGCACATGAAAAGGTAGTCACATGACCTAGATCCATATTTTGGTCCATTTTACCATTGTGGGCTTTTGACTGCTAGCTGACATTTAAGGTAGATGCATTATTTTTGGTACACAGCAATCTCAGAAAGAAAGGTACTAATACAGCCTCCAGAAAGCTGCTAGCAGGCCAACATTCAAATATTTCATAGCAGAAAGCCTCCCCATAGACAACAAAAATATTAAAATTCCTTTAAAAATATTAAGTTGAGATTCAAAATACAGATTACTAGTAACTAATACATTGAAATCATGTGAATAGTCATAATTTCTTACAAGACATTACAAATTTTTACTTCTAATTTTGTGTACAAGAGTTTTCATCTGTACTCACATCGTTGCCTTCTAACTCGAAGTGGTTAAACTTGAGAGTGATGCGGTACTGAGAGGGTGCCACGATCTGCCAGACACAGCGTTTGTTCTGAGGGTACTCCAGCGGGAAGGTAGGACTGGTGATGTTTCCACTCAGACCGGTCAGGAAGCCGCCACATGCCGCTGTTATAATTATATAAGGAATTTAGACACAAACAGAATAATTAACCATTCCTTAAATAAGTCATCTGTACTTCTTGATGCATACATTGTACATACATGTATACAACGATATTTTGAGACTTAACATTACATGTACATACTTGTACAATAAGTCCAAACCAATTAAATAGTAAACCAGATGCAAACCAGGAGGTAACCTACAGACTTTTCTAGCACACTGCACTTGTTTCTATGAACAAAGGCTGTTAGAAAAGTCTGTGAAAGACTTTCTAACAGCCTCTATTTAAGTGTTATGGAATGATTCTGACTTTCCATACATCAATTTAAAATCTTGTGCTGCTAGTTACTGAAGGCACAACAATGATTATGCTTTACATCATGTGTTCTATCAACATATATGATCTTTTGTTCTAAGAAAAGAAAGTGTCAAACATATGAATTGAAATATTTCGGTATACTTACGTTCACATGTGCGCTTGTTGGAGCTGAGTTCATACCCAGGACTGCACTCACAGTGGAAACTGCCCAGGGTGTTCACACACTTCTGTTCACATCCTCCCTTGTCTGGCTGGGCACACTCATTCATCTCTGTGGAAAAATATGGACAGATTGGCATGTCAACCTACATTGAGAATAAGCATTTGATATTGATAATGGAATACGACTGACCTATATTTTGCAGCCTACCAGAATACCTGTGCAAGCCCTAACATTGGGCTAACTTGATCAACAGAATTACAAAGTGCAAGTTGTGTCACATGAAAAGAAAAATAAATATTAATCAGTAGCTCTGTTGTAACTTGTATGAAGTAGCAAAAGACAGAGTGTACAGCCTTTCAACATCACAGATACTAATGACTCATAAGTTTCAACTCAAAAATCTACACAGGTTGTTGCTTTCGTGTCATGCATGCAGATTGGTCAATCAAAGAGGTCATTAGAAAATTTGATACTAGTTGTAATGATATGATAACTGTGTTCTCTTACTGAACACAAAGCTTTCTCATCATACAGAAGTTAAAAAACGAGTTTCATCACTTTGATCTTACCCTTGAAGAATGAAGCAGAGAAGCCGGCCTTGTTAACTGAGCCATCAGACACGAACTTGACCAACAGAGTATTGGAGGAGGACTTGATGTCGTCAGGAGTGATGTAACCACAGTACCGGCCCAGCCTATCAGAGTACTCCTCATCCAGACCATCACGCACTTCCACGTAGTCATAGGAGCAGGTGTCGTGGCGCTCTATCTACAAAACCAACACAACAAGATTACTACCTGCAGATGCAGCGCTACAACTTGTTACAAGGCTTTCTGGATATTGTAAGTTGCTATCAGTTGGATGAACCAATCAACAGACACTTTAACATCGTTAAATTTTATTGTGTTGATGTATGGTTTAAGATATAAATAGCCTTATCAAAATTGTTAGGTGTTTGGCTCCACTAATAGCCCACAACTGCCAGATTGTTTATGTCATAAACTTTTCAGACAGTAGCCAGAACCCCTGCATCGTGTATTGCTTTCTCACGCACCTCAGTTTGGCTAGGATAATCATAGAATAGTTTAGTGTTTTTTTCAACAGTTTTTAGGATGCAATGATGTTTTCTAGGAGTGCATTTTGTATGTTATAGAAAGCTAATTAGAAAACTCTTAGCAAAATAAAACTGTTTTTAACCTTAAGCATGGTGAATTAATCTTATCTGTGAAGTAGGAATCACTTAGCATGCTTGAGGTTAACTTAAGGACATTGTTAAGTGTTGCATCTGATATGTCCAACCAGTGTGTTGATACAATCACCGTGGGACTGCTATGCCTACATTCAGGCTCCTACATTTGCACTATACTGACATACCATATATACTCACTTCATACAGAATATCCAATTAGGTAAAGGCATGTAACAAAACAAGACAAAAAATGCCACTTGCTATATGTATAGCCAAGGACATAACATAGACGTCCTTGGTATAGCTCACTACATCCTTTTTATTGGTTTAATCATTTGACCCTTGCCCCAAATTAAAAGATCAAGTTTTAATGACTGTTTACATCTTTTGAACCAAATTTTCACAGTATGTGCCCCAATAAGGTGAAAGAAAACCTGATTAACAAGTTTTGTACATGTAGCAACAATTAATAGATGAAGAATTCTAGCATGTCAGCAGAACGTACTGCTCCTGTGCGAAATGGAGCAATATGTGCACTTTTACAGAATGTATGGTTTAAGGTTGGGTTGACATTCTGCTTGTTGTGTTCAGAAAGATTTGCTATCGATGTCGAACAGAAACCATGGGTTCACACAGGTGCAGTATGTTCTGCCAAAGTGCAAAGAAGACTACACTAATTGTTCCGTGTTGCTTTCTTGACTCAGTATCGTTACATACTCACTTCAAAAGCCTGGAAGGTCAGCCCTATGTTGTATCCTCTGGGAACAGTTATTCGCCACACACACTCCTTGTTTGGCCTGTAGTCGTCAGGATAGTTCGGACTCTGAATCTGTCCTGACTCCTTTTTGATGTCACCTCCACAGATGGCTGTGTCAAGTAAGATACATATTTTTGTACAGTACTAACTCAGAACTTTATCAACCACACTAAAATCTATAAAAGTTTATGTCAAACCCCACCTTCACATTGTAGTTAAAAAATGCTTAAAAAGAATACAATCACAAGAAATGAAGTGTGTCTAACCTTCATACTGGATAGAGAAGCCCTTAGCAACTCTGTTACTGTTGGCCTGGAACTCAATCCACAGTCTGCTGTCTGATGACACAATGGATTTTGGAACATCGCTGCCACAGAACCTCCCTGAGTTAGGACAGAGCCATGTAATTTGTTGTAATAACTATACATACCAGTATCAGGCACAGTTAGTAGTAGTCTTTATCATAAGCCAGTGACTGAAGACTTACACATATTGGATTTGTGTAGATCCAATTCAAACCTTGCAAACAAAACTTTTACACAGAACAAGGAGGTTATGCACAAAAGTGTGAAGTAGTCATGTTGCCATGAAGTTGAGCAAGTTGTGCTGCATTCATAATAATGTTAAATGTTGTTCCTTTTGAAATACCATACAGCCTACTCTTTAAAATTGTTAACTTGTAATAATAAACATGTACACATACCACTGAGATCCGACTTATGCTCCTTAAAGGCATCCAGTGCAGTTTTTAGGGCTTGGAAACCCAATATTGTAGTAACTTATCTACATACTAGTACTGAGTTTAAACCACACTATCCCAATGTACATTGACCCTCATGGAGCAAAAATTCCCAAAATTTTGACGGAAAATGGTTACTGGAAGGGCCCTGGGCTGATTTTTAGGGTACCACCTAGAAAATAAAGGGCTGATCTTGGGGTTTGTTTCTGCAGTTTTAAAAGCCAAAAGTATGAAATGCTGACTGAAATATATATGCCATTGTGAAGCAGTATGTCACTATCACAAAGATTGCCTTATTCATAATATTAACAGTTTTGCTGCCCTGAAATCGCACTGGATGCCTTTAAGTCATCTTATGATTTACCTATTTGAGGTGACTTCCTCCAGTGTCCGTCTCGGATCTCCACGTAATCATACCAGCAGCCCCGTGACGGTACGATGTCCATGTAGGTGAAGTTGAGGACGATCTTCTCCCCAGGTGTGACAGAGATGCGCCACTCACAGTCCGCGTTGGGGGGATATTTGTTTGGCCAACCAGGTGAGGTAAAGTTACCTGTTGTCTCCTGGAGTGTGTACCCACAGGCTGGAAAAAAATAACAATCCTATATTAGAGTCTTTTAGACATCAACAGTAGAAATGCCAGCACTTGCTTACAGCTGGAGATTTTGCCTTGTCGAAATAACCACAAAAACACCAACTTAAAAACGCTGCATACATTTCAAGAGTTACAGTTAAGTCCACATTGATAAAATTTATTTGTAGGTTGAATAGAACAACCAGTCTTTTTTTCTAAGTTGCAGTATTTTTCAGCTACCTAAATGATATACTTGCCAGATAATACAATCAAAGAGGAATGCAAAGTTAGCACCAGTGTAAACTGTTAACCACAGATCACATGTTTACATGCTATATATAGACTCCGAGAGACTTTGAGATAGTTAAAAACACAAGCCACAAAACCTGTGGACAAGCCAAGTAAACAAGTGGCGCTGTCCTTACATTTACACTTGTACAGCTTGTTTGCCTGGGCAATGTCTCCCTTGCTGAGGTGCGATCGCTGTCCGATGTTTGGACGCAGGCCAGACTCCGGGTCCCTCCGCGGGAGGATGGTATCCAGGAACATCCCTCGTGAGAAGGTGTTCCGAGCGTAGTGCATGATGCTGTTGAAGTCGTAGGACTCACCGAGCGAGTCCACCTCTCCTTTCTCCAGTTTCAGAAAGTTGTACTCTTGGCCTGTGGTGAAGATATTCCATCATGTTAAGTAACAGCAACAGCAAATAATTAACAGTTACTCTTTAAATCTTTTATGGGAAGACTGCACCTGACTAGAGCACAAACCATCTCAGCCATGTCATTGGATTACATGTCCTTAGCAGTTGTCAGCACATCCGCAGAACTGCACCTGTCCAAAGCCTGTAATGTTGCATGGCAAAATTCTGATGCAATGTTGACCAAACGCCCAAGAAAAAATATGTAAAATACGAGTAAAGAGACTCTTTTTATATTTACACAACCAAGTCTTTTATATTTCAGTGACCGTCTGTCACCTTCCTCAGGCAATTCTGACTGGTTTACATTGTATTGCAGCACAAGTGTCGCTGCTACAGATGCATTCCCGGATGTAAAACACGAGTTTCGCACAGGAGCAAGCAATACGTTCTGCCAATGTACATGTACTGTGGTTGCCAGTCAACACAAGCCTTACCTGGCTGGATGTTTTCCTTGATGATGGTGACCCAGTGGTCTCGGTCAGGTCGGGTATGTTCATGCCAAAAGCCAATCACATGGCCGAGCTCATGCACAACAATGCCAAACTTGTCACAGTTCTTTCCTATGGAGATGGCCTGTGGTCCATTGCCTCTTCTCCCCACAAAGGAACAGCACCTGTGGTTTTAACAATGTAGGAACAAGTAGTGAATACATCATACATGTATTACATTTACTTCTAACCCCTGCCAACTTCTAGGTCTGCTTTGTTTTAGTGCTAGGGTGTTTTACAAGTTTATTTTTTGTTGCTGCCTTTTTTAGTCATCCCAAACCAAACAAGGAGCATAACAGTTATATCCCATTTCGTGACATTACATCTGAGGTGTGATAATGTTCAATACGGGTTCAGCCAGAGGGAGATCTGATTCGCAGGAGGGCTGGGACCAAGGGCGATGTGATCATATAATGCCTCGCTAGCCATCTTTTTGAGATTCAAGCCTTTCTTATTCACTGGCCATATCAAACTAGCAGTCCTCCAGAGTAGTAAAAGACAGTAGGAAGCCCAGACTATGGCAAAGGTGTAATTCTGAGATGTCCAAGGAGTTTTCCTCACCCACACTCTCTGTATGTGAAGACGATGTAGTTCTCCTCATCAGTTCTCTCGATGAAAGTGACGCATGTGAAGTTCTCCCAGTGCCTCATCGCTTGTTTAAACATTGCCCGCTGGCTACCTGCAACACATACCATGTCCAGTTTCTTTGTTCTTAAATATTAGGAATTCATGTACTTTTCCTGTGTCAAAATATTTACAAAGTGTTGAAATAGATGATTATTATCATATTATACCTGAAACATTTTGCCATGCCATGCAACATCAAAATTTGCACCTAAAAGCAAACTCTGGTGGTAGCTACTACATGTCTGTGTAAATTTGTAAACTGTAGTAAATTTTTCATCCTGGTAAGATCCTTTGTACTGGATTTTTTTTTAGAAAATCCAGGAACAGTACCTTTTGTATGCATTTTGTACATGTACAAAAGCTAATGGAGTAATTTAAGTATCCAAGTATTACCTGAAAAGTTGGCCTTAGGATCCACAGTGTAGGGAATGACAGCGTTGGGCCATTTCCTCTCGGGCCTGGCCGTGGCTGCCCGCCGTATTCTGCTGTGTACCCTCTGGATCGGCGCAGGGCCTGATCTGTGGAGCCGCTCCCGGCGATGCTGGGGTTTTTGTCTGGAGTGGCCTGGTTTAGCCACTGTCCAGTTTACTGAAGAAGTAGCATAACAAATTTAACATGAAATGCCACGTGGCAAGCCTCACTGGGTCAGTCTACTGAAGAAGACCAGAATAACTGGTCGAAAGATCTAGCTGAGAGATCTTTATCGTGTTGGAAAGTTTTAACTTTAAACACATTCTAAACAAATCTTTATATTGAGATTATGTGGTGTTATTTATTAACCCTTGTCCTTCTGGCATTCCTGGCACAATATTTTTCAATATTTTCATGTCTTGATTAGATAAAAAAAAACCAGATTTTTTTGCCCTGCAGTGGCATAGTTACTTCCGCATTCGTTGCGTTTCTCTGCGGTGTAATCCGTTGCACGAGAAATACCCCCAAATTGTACCTATGCAGGGTGCTATATAGATGGTACTGTATGTGCCGCGCAACATATGTTGCGCACAGCAGGACAAGGGTTAAGATTATGTGGCCTTGAATGATCAAGTGGCTAGACTAGTGGACACGAGATTGAGAGGACACAGGTTTGATTCCTGCTATTCCTGCGGCTATTTTTAAAAGTTTTTTGCAAATAGATGAGCAACATCACGTATGCTTTCATGTTTTACAGGTGCTCATCACCCTCAAGTTTTAACCTGATTGCTCTATTCCAGCAATGCATCATATTTTACTTCCTGAACACACCTGGCTCAGAGACGTACTGCGAATTTTACTAAACATGAATTATTTCACCTGCGTGATTGTGTGTTGGGAAAAAAGACGTCTGATAATTGCATTACATTAATGGGTCTTCTAAAGGTGAGCACAAATGTGTTGATGTCATCAAGAACTGAGATAGAATTTCATCCTACAGCTGTGGCTACGGCTGCAGCTACAAGTGGTTCAATAAACCAGTCTATATTATTTACAATGTATATATTAAATGGCCCTGGAGGGCTGGTGTCAGGAGCCATTTGTGTCCTACAGCACACTGACAGCTGAAGGAAAGGACCCATATGGCTATGGCACACTCGTGGGCTTGATAAAACACCCAAAATAGACCCAACTCTGCCTCGTAATGCGGTTTCACAAGTCAACAATGTCGTCTTTACACATAGCAGTGGTAGCCTGCCTGTTTAAGAGGGCCAGCTCTTAAGGCGGAGGTCACTAAAGGAATCTAACGAGATTTATGATGTGTTTAGGCCAGTCATAAACCTGGTAGGCCTTCAAGTGTGCGGCTAGGATGACCCTGGAGCACCTCTTGAGTCTTGTGCTATTTAAAGACACTGCAGATGTATTACAAAGTTCAGAGATGGCGCGGGCTCCCCTTGGCTTTTTGCAATTTCAATGTGTTTCCTGGCAGAACTTCAGAAGGCTTTTGTCCGTTTAAGTCAACAATACTGAATTGATTTGACTTTCACTGTTGCTAGACTATGTACAGTACACTGTGAAACTTTTGCTGTGGTTTCATTTTGCAGTAGGATTTGGAGGGAAAGAGACTTTTTCAAGAGGGCCTGCAAGGGGGGGTAGTGATTACGAATTACGCAAAATTTTCGCCGCCTATTACGAATTACGTTAAAGTCTCAGAGCTGATTACAACTTTACGATTTGCAGCTAATGTCCAATTACGAATTACGTTGATTTTTGCAGAGGCTGCCTACTTATTACAAAGTCTAAAACGGCCTGCTTACGCCTTACGAAAAAGGGCTTGCAGGCCCTCTTTCAAGGTGTTTTAAATCTACATCTAGAACAATTCTCTAATACAGTAATCCTGTAATGGAGGCATATATTTGCAGTGTCACAAATTTGCAGTAGTGAGGTCACGGTGAAAACCGTGAAATTGAAACCGCCGTGAAAGTTTTGTGGTTTACAGTATGTCCCTTGTGATGATGTAAAAATGTTCTAATTGGGCAACCTGAGACACAAACAAAGGCCACAGCCAACATTCTTTCTTTAACCCTAATCACACTGAATTAGCCACTTGGGTACAAATTCTCCATTGGTTACAGGGTTAGGCAGCAGGGTGGAGGTTAATATGGATTTACAACCCAAGGACTTTATAGGAAAGAAAGATACTAATGTCCAAGCAGATTCTGTGGGGAAAGGGGAGTCTATATTGGCTGCCAACAGTTACAGGAGGCAAATGGATACAGGCAGCCAATATACACTCCACTTACCCCACAGAATCTGCTTGATGATTAGAAAGAAACTACTTTCTAATACGTCTGTCAGATCTTGGCACTGCGGAAAGATCTTAACGTTACAGGTTCTTTAAGATGGCTTCCTCCACAACTTGCCAGCCAAATCTGATACAGCTTCCTCAAGGGTTGGCTTAGCCATACATAGTTGAAGAGGATAGAACATATTTAGACAGGATCCCTTATCTTGACATAGCAGAGTTATCTGTGTAGTACAACATGGGGATTTGATGGAGGAGGTGTCTGGGGTATGGCTGTGCTGATGTTGGCATGACTGCGGTAGGGTTGGATGTTGTTCTGAGAGAACCCCAGGATGTTTCAACAATGTCTTGCCAGAAATGCTACAATGTGACTCCAGTGAGATTAGGGTACAAGGCTACCACTGTTTTTATAGTATTCCTATCCAGTACCAGAGTGCTATGCCAAAGTATGCAAAGAACTCTATTTGAAACATACGAAATACTATGGGGAATCATAAGTATTTTACATGAAACATACCAACTGTGTTGAGAATACTGACTACGTACGAGTAATCTTATACTGCCTGGGTCATGTGTTGAAAGTTGGGGTAAAAAGTTTTTTTTTTTTTACAAAATTCATAATTTCCCTCTCGGTTACTAATGCTAGTTTGTACGTTTTGCATCAAATCTGTACAATTTCCCATACTGGTACCAATTTCTATGGTTTACGTAAGATTTGTACCAATTTCATAAAATTCATGCTCTTCTTACCTCTTCTTTTGCCAGACTGCAATCTTCTTGACTGCATATGACGATGTCTTAGCTGCCCTGGAAAAGTTTCCCCTTGCTGCCATTCTCTTGTATATCTTGCTAATGTACTGATGTCATATGGACTTAAAGCTATGTCACCATCAAATTGTTCTGAAACAAAACAGAGTTCCCATGTTAATATAAAAGTAGCAGCAAAAACTCACCGACAACTTCAGTTCAAATTGCTCTTCCAAGCTTATCCAAGAACAGAATCATCAAAAATATCCTTGTCACAAAAAACATACCTCTGCAATTTGAAAGCACGCTGCTAGGTGGCTCAGAATCTACTAACATCTTTGTTATTTATCAATTATAAGGCTGCCCACAACTAAAGCAAAACATGGAAACAGTTTTCTTTGATGTTCAGTTACCAAAATGACCAGCCAGCCTGCGCTGGTGAAGAGACAAACTCGTTATAATTTATGTACGTAAAAGCTGCCCCCCTCCCCGCGCAAACACACACTGTATTATTGGTCCGTCCCTTCCCCATATTCTGCGCCGATAAAAATTGTCCTGAAAAAAATGTGCAAAATTTTTAGGAAGGAAAATATGACCCTGTGATATGATTTTCCATCTTTTACATTAATTTTTTGTTTGAAAAACTTTAGGTCCCTTGGGGATACTAGTTTTATTTTCACGTGCAGATTTTCCACCTGCAAGTTTTCACGCACGAAAAACCCGCGCGCAAAACCTCAACCCCGTTTCAAGCCCGCCCTCATCCTCCTGTGCAGGTGTCTGTACCCCCGCCTGTAATCCGGGATGACAGACAGTGACGACAGGGCAGGCCTGCCGACCCTGACCCAGACGTGCTGATCACAGGTTTAACACATCAGCAAAACTCGCAGGACCCATCCATCAGCTGTTTTTATCCCTTGATAAGAGCACAACAAGCTGACGTTTAACCTTCTTTAATCCCAAGATTAACAGAAGATCAAGTTGAAACTATCGGTGGATTAGGATTAGAGCCAGGTTGACGAAAGTCGGCGAAAGAACCACACACAGTCAATCGGTTGTGCTAATTGTGTGACGAACACACAGCTACGCAGTTGTTGTGTGATCTTCAAGGTTGGTCAACAATGGCTTCGTCTCTTTGACATCGTGCATTCATCAGAGAAAACACGCAAGTCACGAATCCGTGTATGTGTTGATAACATTGCCTACTCTCCAAGCAGAGGTTTGCAGGGAAGATCGTTACCTTTCTAACGTTATATATGCCCGTTTTTTTCTGTCGCTACCCCTACCAACGCCTCCAGCTCACGCCTCTGGATCTTCCCCACCAACCTCTGCTTGGAGAGTAAACATTGCCTAGAATTGTGTACATCTACCTTTACACAGCGAACTGTTAACTGTGGCGAATTTTCGATCTCAAACCCGGTAGCTATCAGGGCGCAATGTTCCTTTTGATCTGAGAAATAATACAGAAGTCCGTACAATGGGATCAAGGCCTCTGGGGCCACCACCCTGGCACCTGTTCAACGTTTTTAAAGGTTGTTGCTTCCGATGTGGATCGAAAAACAAAAACAGAGGCTCTTGAGCATGTTTGATATCCGAAGATGATAATGGAATAACCAGTTGTGACTATACTGGGTTCAAAGTCAGAGACCTCCGTGAAACAAACCCCGTGTATATTTATAGAACTCCGGCCTTGACTCAGCTTTCCATTATACCTTCTCACGACCCCTTAAAGGGTAAAAGTTGGATGATACAACTTCAAACATTGGTGTGTGGCACTAGTACTGTAAAAGAAGTATATCTACAACATATACAGTATTGTACCTTGCTGAAAATGCTGGCAAACTATCGACTTATAATCCTACATTTATTTTAGCAAGAGAACACGAACTCTAAAACTGATAGATAAACATAATGTTTTCTAAACCTAATTCGTATTCAACTGTTGTTAAACTATTGTTGAGCTGATAACATACTGCTTTAAAGGTGAATACAAGAACATTTAAAGTTTTAAAGAAACTTTAAACTCAAGATGTGATTGGGGCCCAAAACGCAATGTGTACCTAGTACCCTCGCTTGGAACAGGTGTTTCAAGTTCATCCACCCCTGGACTGCAATTTGGGAGGAAGGAGATCGAGAAACTAGTTAATTCTCTACCATAGTCCAAACAACAACACAACGGACATGATATATTCGTGTTTGTCTGTCCTGTTTCTTTGTTGTTTCTTTTTCCATTGCTGCAATGTCATTTTCGGTGTGCGGTTATCCTATAGTTATATGGAAATATCTTCGGAAACGAAGCCAAGCCAAGAGACTACTAGTATATGGAAAAATATAGCAACCTGCATTAACAAAACATAGTGTATTCCGGTAGATTTCACCCTCCTTCATGTGTATTCCGGTTTATTCCGGTGTATTCTGGTAAACAGGCCGGTGTATTCTGGTAAATAGACCGGTAGTGTGTGATGGGACCTGACTCCCTGAGTCCCTCGCGTCTCACGGCTGTCCAGGAGAGGAAGAGACACAGCGGGACGACTTTCAGCTGCCTCGGGTTGTTTCCCACTCAAGTCAAAGGTCGGGATTAGTCAGAAACCAAAGGCTATCTGTGTCAAAACGGTTTGGCATCCGTAGGTAAAGAATTCCATGTCAGCCTTGGTCTGCGACAGTAGCTGTTTCCAATGATAATCCGAACCGTCTGCCGTGCAATGATGACGCAACTGTTATGTTTATACCTGTCCCAGTCAATCGTAGGAGCGGTCAGTGGGACGTGTGGTGTTGGTGTCTTCTGTATCAAGACGATTCTTATAAAAAGTAATATTGCTAGCGTTCACAATATATATCCACCTCATGTGTTGTTCTTCCTCTTCGTCACGACAAAAGAACCGCAAAGAATTTAGTGACACCAGCCCCAGCGTCTTTCACAATTAGGCCATGTTGATTTGATTATATGGATGACATCCTCCGGGAGCCCCAAAACTGATGCGCGCGTGCGAATAAAAAAAAAGTTTTGCAAAAAAAAAAGGTTCTTTTCATTATGAAATCTACGTGGTCATGAGAGTTGAGCAAATGGCACAGAATATGGTTTGGCGAATAATCTAGTCTTCAAATTCATTTCTTTACAATTTCGTCTTTTTTCGTTTGATTTTGGCATTCTACGACATTGGTATAGTTTTTATTAATTTTTTTGTAACTTATGGTATATTTTTGCTCATTTTGCACGATTTACAGTATGGTTGAAAACTTTTTTTTTTTTGGAAACGGCCGAAAATTCATGCGCGCGCGGATGTCATCCATATAATCAAATCAACATGGTCTTACTGTCACTATCCTTGCGACCACTGATGACTCAACCGTCGGTTGTACGTTCATTGACTCTTCAAATATCTTAAATGTTAGTCAGAAGTTGTCCTTCCACCAATAAAGACCGAAGTAGACACAACTCAGAGCTGATTTACCGTGTGTACTACTTCAATAGGACATCACTGGAGACGACGGTCTATTCCCTACACACCTAGAGCAATAAATCACTTGTTCTAAGTACTTCTAAGGCCTGACATTGCGAATTCCTCTTGAGGTTTTGAAAACACTTCAACACAAGTAGAGGTTGAAATCCAAGCTCTTAATTCGTCATTCCGTGCTCTCACACGTGTGTTATATACGGTCATTACCTGTTGTTTTCTGTTTGCTTGTTATCAAGAGTGCCAACTTGTAAAGGTCAAGAGATTTTCCACTTTGTGCCGGGATAATTGCGAGTGTTCTACCTGGCCTGCATTACACGGCCTGGGCACCATCGCGCCATCTGGAGGGCACACAAAGCTGGTGTGTTTTTTTGTCGGGAAGACCGACTGGAAAGGTCAATTTCGGTCTGACTCCCCAAATACCCACTATGTGGGCCGTGCTGACTGTCACTGGCGGTGGGGCTCTCGTGGGAAAGGTTTCAGAGGTCTTTCCGTGGCGTGAAATGTTTTGTGACCGTCCGGAGTCTCTGGGTTTTTGGATAACCACGCAATCCAAACCTACGAGTCAGACAGCATTCTCATCGTTTTAGCCTCGATGCCAGACGGGTTCTTGGCGCTGGCCTGTGTCTCAGGGCTAGTACACATTAGGCCACAGAAGCCTGTTGCTCTGGGGGTGTCTCAGATAATCTATGGTAAAATTTCATTGGGGACAGGTTGGCCATGGAGCCGAGGAGCTAGCCTAGCCCTGGCAACAGTCTGGCACTCGAGCTACCTAATTTTTTTTCCATGGAACAGCGCTACAGCAGATCGTCCCTTGTTGAATCATCTCAAGATATTGCATGATGATTCAAGTTTTCCCTCAATGTTCTGTTAGCATGTGTAATCGTAAAATGTCAAAGTCATAGTCTTGACATGCCATACGCTATCTTCTCGGACCTGTTACTGATTACTACCACCAGTACGTAAGTCTCGTCTGTCGTCAGCAGCCAGCTTGGCAGCAGGTCGTCTGAAAATCGGGCGTCAAGAAGATTCTGCCTCTGAATTAGCACTTTCGAGTATACCCTTGGAGGAAGAAAAAACATGAAATAGTGTGCATGTTCTGCACTATTATCTATCGTTAAATATCTTCTCTTTGACAAAAAGTATCCTTAGGTATCCTTTGGTGGCGTGCGTCGCCCGTGTCAGGAGACCCTGTTTCTGGACCAGAAGTTCAAGAGTTCGAATCCCGGCTCATGTCACAGAAGATTCCACAGAATGCAGTAAGCCGTGGTTCACTGTCTGTGAGGAGGTACGGTTGTCACGGGAGGTGTCAAAAACATTACAAGAAAAAAATGTGAAAAAAAACACACGAAAAAAGTACTCCAATATAGCACATAGTAACTTAATTTGCATGTTTCTTACAACATTCATCCTTTAGTTACACTTTGATAAAATTAATCAAGAAAGCTACAAACTAAAGTACAAGGAGAAGGAAATCTTTTATTTCCTATCTTACACCACCCCCAACCCCCAAATTGAGCCAACCTGTACAAACTGACAAACCAGCGACAACGAAAACATCACGCCCTTCCCTAACAGCTGACCTAACAAAAACTTTTTGCAACGATCCACCGACATCCTCACCCTACCGGCGACCCTGTCTGCCTGTAGCCTCCTGTGCAGGCTTTCTGGCGGGCATCGTTTCTACGAGTACGGCGGTTTCTTTTGGAGTTCGCTACCCCGTCGAACTTTCGGAAACGGACTAGAGCACGACAAGATGGGATTCCAGGCTATATATACTAGTAGCTCTCCCCCAGAACAGAAAACCGCCGTGCTCTATCCGCTAGACATACGTAGAAACTTAAGAAAGTCCACTAGGAAGTCTGCGCAGGAGGCTAGTCTGTCCGGTTTCCTAGTACTGCCTTCTTCTCTCTTTGGACGTGTACATCATCGGGCGGAGAATTAGCGGCTATAATTATACCGCTATCGGACGGCCAGCTGTTGAGATGTCCAACTCAGTTGACAGAAGGACGTCAGAAACAATTGCAGTTAGGACGTGGTTCAGCGCGGTAGCGAACTGACAGAAAACTGTGTAGAGTCAGGCGACCGGAAAGCATGATCGTGATCGTTTTCTTTCCCATATTCTCCATCATAGTTGTGAATCAGCCCCTGTACCCGACTATAGACCCTGTCAAGACCACTTCTTGTGGCTATATTCTTCAGGAGTCGTTGGCTTTTCGATCGCGGTCATGCTAGGACATACATGCCCAAGGGCCAAATTTTTAGACAAAGCGACCGCAATCGAATAAATATGATCCTGGATACACCGCTATCAAGAAAGTCCATTTCAATTTGAACCAAATGCTTACAACTATCTAGAATTACGTCTAGATGACGGCAAAGTTCCATCGTGATCTGATCTAGATCACGATGGCTCCAAAATTTGTTTGTCCGCAAAGGAGGGTTGTTTTTGTCGCCGATGGTTAGTTCTCTGGCTGGTACAGGATGACTCACAACGTTGTCAGCGAAATTTTGGGCTTCAGGGTATGTCTTGGGTAAAAAAAACACGATTATGTTTTCAGAAACAGCAGTTGTTTCTTAGTGAATACGATAATTTCAACTCTATTTCTATTTGCTTCTTGATAGTGCGTCATAGTGATGAAATTCCCCTTGCAGCTTCTTTCAAACTGCAGGTAAGAAGCACGTACACGGTATACCCTATAACGGAAACTATGTAAGGGTAGTGACCGTAGCGTGAGGTTGCGCCTTGGAATGCTTTCTCTAGTAGAAGGTATATTTGCCAAGGAAAAGGACGTCACTCGTAATGAGCCGATCTCTCTGATGTATCCTTACAATTTTGCATAGGTCATCACGATTCTTGGACCAGATTAGTTACTAGTTCAGTAGTTGGTATACAAACATTATGAGATAGTGTGTTAGGCAGGTTAACGTTACGGATTACCATCATAACATCTGCTTGAAAAGGCGCCTTTTAGCGGTTAGACGCAAGAGTGTGTCCTCCAGTGTTGTCAAACAAGGGGAGGAGTGGGCAAAACTTAAATAAGGAAATCGCGGTTATTTAGTGCAAACGTCTAGGCAAACAAACCTACATTTACATACAGCAATGGAGACCTCATTTACACAAGAACACACGAACACACCATTTCTGCACTGCGTATTTACGTTTGGCTGTTGGGGCAATAGCGGAATGCAGAAATGGTCTGTGGACACACGCAAGTCCCAGCGTTGATGTAGAGGAGGCTGGCTGCGGGGGAACTTTCCTCCGGTGCTGTAATTGCTTGTTATCCTACCCCTACTCTTTCCTTCATCTACCGACACCTAATAACCAAGCAGATGTTGGGGTGACTGAAAGATCGTAACGTTTGCCGATGTCTGGACTTCTCTGGGGTGAGGAGCTGAAAGAAAGGCCACGTAGTCAGAAAACGTTTATTATCTTACGCCAACGTCTGCTTAGGGATTATTAGCGTGCCATCTGACTGCAAAGGTATCTCCTCCTGAGCAGACTATATACTACGACTGGGCTTTTTCTTGTGCCGTCAATTTTTTTTTCCTTCTGGCATATCAGGCCAAGCGTAGATGGCAAAAGAACCCAGGTACAAATAGAAGTAATAACGCCAGAAAAAAAGCCAATTATGAAAGCTCCCCTAAAGGCCCAGTCACAGAGCCTGCTAGTATAGCCTTGATGCAAGACTTCGGCTTTCTCGAGGGCTCAGAGTCTATCTGAGGAGACGTCTATGGTAAAATTTGCGGAACCGATGAGCTAGGCTGCCCCTGGCAACAGTCTGGCACACAGGCTAAGCCTGCTAAGGATGCTACGGCAAAGGCAAGTCGGTTAGCGCTTGTTATTTCAACCCAATGGCGATGGTGACACATGGACACCATCATGCATGGCCTGTCAACGATGGACCAGATAAAATCTAGCGATAAGATAAAATCATGAAAAATAAACATGTGCCAACAGAGACTGAGAGAGGCACCATCAGTGACATCATCAGCACCAAGGAGGTTCTATCAAAACCTCGCTGACAACAGGACAAGGACCAACTTGTGTTGGGGGGACTTCAACAACCACGAGGCCATCAGAGATGGCAGACTTCACCCCTTTAACTTTTTTAAGCAATCTGTGACGCATCAGCCATACTGTTTTGCAGTAAAAAAAAAAACACAGACACACAGACACAGACAAGCCAAAAACATCATACTTCCCTCCTTGGGGGTGAGGTTACAAATTATGCCAACAAACGACTGATGTGGTATGCAACAAATACCAGAGCAAGGCCGAGGTCGACTGTTGCACTACGTACACAAACCAGCAGCTCCTAACACATGCTTTATTTGCTTCCGTTTATAGGGGAGCACAGAAAGAGCAAGTAGAACCAGTTGCCCCAAAACCTGCCCCGGAAGAGATTAAGCTAAAAGTTCAGAGTTGACTTCCGGATGATAGGAAAATTTTAAAGGAAGGCCTCCACCAGACAAAAGGAAAGGAAGAGAGCTTGCTTCTTTTCAGCACAACTGGTGATTCACCGTGGCTCGGAGAAGACACCGACAAGCGCTGTGCTCCCGGCTATTCAGACGCACAAAGCAAAGAAAGATTTATTTTATGTGTACAAGGCCAACCTGTGTTGGAGGAATTCCAAACCCAGACAGTAGCGAATTCCTAAGCTGTGGTGGTCAATACCCTTTCAGGCCACATCACAATGAAGTCGTTTTTCTTGTCAAGCGTCTTAGGCCAGAAGAAAACACATTGTTGATGCGCCACAGTCCGGCCAGTTGCCATTGACCTGTGGTATCAGTTGTGACAGGACTCCCCATGTGGCTTGAATTAATTTGGTACTTATCATTCCCAATTGCCCCATGCATAACCATATGTATCCCGTCGCAACGCACGATAAACCGACCGGTCGTAGTCAAAATACATTGATTTTACGGTGATGTATAACACCACAACACATTATAGAGCAGCACTAGCCTTACCGTATAGAATGCACGCAAAGTTAACCACATTGCCATTTAGCTGGGACTAAATTAAACATTATGGAGCACATCAACACATTTATAATACCGATGTGCACAGATTGAAAATTTGAAGTGACGCTTTGTCTGGTAACGTTAAGGTACTGATTGTGTACCCGCTACGGCAAAATTATGTTGGCATCTGCTATTTACTTGACCCCAGACACTGTTGGGACGGTAAAGATTGCCGGCGTCTGAAGAATGCAGTCCATGGAAACGGCTGTAAATGGCAGCAAAGGTCGGGGAAAACAATGACCTACCAGCTTTACAGGGGTCTGCATAGTCGATATCCTGCGTATCATCAGGGTTCAGGTAGTCTATTGGTACCTGGGACGCCCTCACGGAGCCCCACGTTGGCATAAACACCAGGATATAGCAGTAGCATAGCGATACAAGTCCCAGCGGCAACGCAGTCATTCTGAAAGCTCAGTTCCTTGGTCCCTGGAAATTCCCGTGCGTTTCCGTCGAGGGCATACCCACGTAAGTTGACGAAGTAGCGAGCGCTCCCTTGCGGTCAATCCCCTCGCGGCCCCTAGAGGCAGACCATACCTATCATTGTCATGCGCTCTCTGCGTAAGAAGGAGGTTAATTCCTCCCTGAATTGGGCAGAACGTCAAGTGTTTCTGATCTGTTTTAACAATGACCACATTGGCCAATAAGAAGCAACCTTGGGGCCAGGGCCTTGTTGCATTGATCCAGATTGTGGCTTTCCAGATGGCTAGGTGACGACTGGCCGCCAGCGTTCAAAACCGGAAGACCCGAGAGTGGGAAGGCGAGAACTGACCTGCTCTGCATGTTTGGCAGGATATCGCCATGTGACTGATTAGCCGTGAAATCCGCGCTGTCGGGGTACGGCCACTTTTGTTCAAACCCAAATCCGCTTTTTTCATAACATTGAGGGGAACGGCCTTCTACAACGTCACGGGGCTCCTGGCAGCCCACAATCACTGCCACTGACATTCAAATCATGTTAATGATTTAAACGTAAACCTGACAGACTAGCGGACAACACATTTGCTTCTAGAAGTAGAAGAAAGGGGGTTCCAAGTCAGAGTGGAAAAACAGCCCCCCTAGAAAAAAGTAAGATCTGATTGGTTCTCTGCTGTTCATCGCTAGTTAGTTACCACAGACGCCATCCAAGGCCGTCTCCCCAGGCTTCCTGAATAACGTCCAATCTACAGTACTGCAACATATCGCGTTTCCCTTTCCCAACTGTTATACTGTCCTTTCCTATCGACATTGATGTGAGTCAGATAGAACATAGCAAGGTCACGGACAAGCCGAGGCCTTCAGCAGATAAACAACAACAGGACATCTGTTAGTTACTAGGTTAACGATATTAAATTAACTGATGACTGTCTCATCCCTTGGCGTGCTTTGTTGCCCTAATATTCCAAGACCCCTGTAGGGACGAACGAAATCGCCAGAAGACCTTTTTTCAGTCTTGTGGGCAAGAGAAACGCTCTATCCTAAATACATAGAGGACTATTTCAGCATCTTTGGTTTAAAAAATGCATTAATGTCCACGCCGCATGATCGTTAATAGTTTTAGTCTGAGCGTTCAATGGTATAATCAGTTAGTCCTACATGTATATTTGTCGTTTTGACCAAAGTCCCAATATTGGATCGTGCAAACTACATATCAAAATGGTTTGTTACTTTCTTCACTATAAGTTTCTTATAACACCTAGAGTGACAAGACAACACAATATTGTACGACAAAGCTCAAAACGAACCCGATTTTTTCCCAGTGTAAACGTTCTACCGTGAGACATTTTTATAACTTGAGACGCGCAAATTTGCCTGGAGAAGAAAAACAACGCCTCCTCACGGGATCAGTAGAATTACACTTTCAGCTTCGCGAAAATGGGGATGAAGCACAAAACTGTAGAAAACAGAAAGGAACGTCTTAAAGACCCATAATGTTCTTATACTGAAGTGAAAACGAGGGAGGCGAGGATACAAAGGGAACAGCACAGAACCACGACAATATAGACCTGTCAAAGTTTCTCAAACTAAATGCAAAAGTTCTAAACTTGCAACTCCGGGAAAAAAAATCAACTATTGCTGGTAAATATGGAAAGGTCTGTGCAATTTGTCGAGAGCCTTGAGTAGATTTTGTCGCTGTCACTGTGCTCTTCCGTTTACTTTTTACAGATTCCCCCCCCCCCCCCCACAGCCATACTTTCTGGTCGGTCCCGTAAGTAATCTAAAAAGTGCTGCAATCGCAGATCGTTATGTACCTTACTTGTTTGGTTACATGTGTATCTCGTTATAAGAACTTCCCGCAAATTATGGACCACCTCACATCAAGACCGTTCCCGAGTGAGGAAAATTGAGGACAAATTTGTACCAAAAGTCGGCTCCTTGCTGACTCGCTAAAAGTGATGGAGGAACTGCGGAGAAACAATGATTGGGCGCGTCTGGATGCAATCAGCTGACACATTGTTTGAGGACTAACTAACACTGGCGCTGCTACGCCTAATGACTCTTTCTGTCATCTAGTTATCAGCAACAACTAAAGAAAACTAAGAACACTTGGCCTTTTTAGCTTGTGAACGGTGCCAAAGGCTATTGCGTACCTTTTTATGTGCCGCAGAACGACGTACGGCAACCCTCCGTAAAATTGGCGCTAAGACATGATGGATGTTAGGCCAGAAAACTTTGTTTCAGCGAAACTGTACACAATAGTACTAATCGTTAGCATATTCGTAACAATAATTATTTTGAGACTTTGTAATGTATGCATATTTCAGAGTGTATGCAAATCTATACACATTTTCTGCCCATCGATTAAGCACAGTGACTGTTCGGGGATGGTGGGAGGCGACAGCGATAACTGTGAAGTAAAAGAAACACGTTTCTCCGAATTGTAAGTTGCCGGTATCATATACACAGTGTACATGGCGTGATCATGACTAACAGGCTACAGAGTCTGAAAACCACAACACAGATGACCAACAGATGGCAGCCTATCAAGTTTAGGAAGGTCCTGGGAAAGAAAGCTGTAGACTAGACAGGATAACAACATTAGGCTCAAGCCTTCAAAGGTGAACATTTGGGTCCTGCGGAATGAATAGACAACGCGGAAGGGTAGTTTAATATATTTAAGTTTTGTCTGTCTACGTTGATGAGAAACCATTAAAAAGCACTTTAAAGTCAGACGCCAGCCAGCTATAACAACTTTTTTAAATACCAGGCCGTGCAAAAAGTCACGTTGAGAAGACGACGTTTGGTCTAGAGAATTAACAGTCCTGCCATCAGTCAACTGTATCCGAAACTGCAGACGACGCCACGAAGAACAAACAGGGCATCATCTGAGACCGCAGGTTCGCACACGTACAGGCCTGGACGCGCGTCAGTCGCCTAAAGATGGACATGGGTCGCAAACTGTGCGTCTGTGCGAAGTTCGGAACTGACGAACGCTTCACTGGAGCATAACACCCACTGAAGTAACAGATTCTCAGGCCCTTTCTCAGGAGCAGGTTTGGCCCGCCGCCTAGAATAACGTCTGCGGTATATTCCGCCTGCGGAGTTCACGGCCAAGGTGGTCGCCACTTTTATAGCTTTCCCCTTTTCCAGCTCGTCCCCAGAGTGGCGAAAGTCACACGTGTCGCGTCTGTCTGGGCAGAGAGCTGCGGGGTTCGTGGTGGGAACTTGAAGCAGTTTCTCAGATGGATAATTTACTTTTACATGACATTCACTACGTATCGATGGATGAATGCTGTATAATTCCATGTCGTTAGATGTTGTTGAAGTACTTTCACGATGTATTTCAATCACGGCACATGTAGTAGGCAGCAGGGACTGCATGTGCGTCATAAAGTAATATGCGGTGCTAAATAATGTGCCATGCGATGCTGTACATCATAGTATGCTATATGCGGTGCTATCAGTGTGCTACGAGTATACTGTACTATACAGTGTGCTGTGCGGTGCGGTGCTGTAAGTGTTGTAAAGCGTGCAATGCGCTGCTATTTAGTGATGCGGTGCTGATCGAGAGTACTGCTTGAACATTTATGTACTATCCGTCTTGCACATCGCCATACTGTATACTGTACTTTGCTGTACTATGGATACTTTCACCGTATACTGAAATGACCTTCAGCGATCTGATGAGGCACGTGGATGAGGAAGTCCTGAGGAAGATCATGCAGGGAGCTACTGGGGACAGTACGTTGTTGGTAGGGGGAAGTTGGTGCAATTTCGTACTAGTATTGTTGCATACTCGATCAGTCTTTCATCTTTTTACAACCTTCTACAAATGTATTAGAAAGCAGGTTTGTAAACTGCGAAAAAAGAAAAGGTTGATGGCTTTGGGCTGATGGTGCAAGTGGTTGGCGGTTAGCGCAGCAAACTATTCCAAATCTAATAGATTATACCCATACAATCTTTCTGCAAACTTAGACAAAGTCACAAATTCAATATTACAGCAGTCACCCATTGATAATGCAAATGTTTCCTAATTTGCATTATTCTAATTTGCATTATTCTGATTTGCATTATTCTTCCATTCTGCATTATGTGCATAACAACAAACCAAATGCGACGGAAACCACAACCTTCTCACTTTATATAAGTTATTATAGCAATTCAATTTGACATCGCAACTGTGACTTTTTCGACACCCCTGTCGAAGTTCTGGCCCATCTCATCGATACTTCAAAGTGAAATATGACAATAACATAATAGATGCGAATGTGCGTTGTGAAGTTGTAAAAATCTTAATTTTTTTCAAATTTAAATATGTCATATCTGTGCGGACAGTTTCGTCCTGCATTGGTTGCAGATTAATGACTTCCCACTGCGTCGGTCAGCTTTCAGTTTGTTTATGTGGCAGCTGTCCTTGTGCTCGGGGAGCGGCGTGGTCTGCACCATACGGGGCAACACGTAGCTCGGTGTAACACTAGGTGACGTGGCCATGTGGAATTACTCTACTTCCCGTCGAAAGACATGCCTGCCCCCGTGACTGGACCATGGCGGCGTGCAGACTGCGTGAAGACGGGCGGTGGCGGTGAGGTAGAAGTGGACGTGTAACGTGTCGCACACTCGCGCCGTGTCACCCCGGCTCATCGTGCGTGCGGCACCGACTCTGGCAGGAAAAGGCCGGTAGACTTGCAGCTGAGATGCTCTCATTCTTCCCCGCCCTGGCCTGTGTCTGCTTGTTTCTGTCAGATCAGGTAAACTTCCGAGATAATTTGATTTCACACCGCCCCAAACCACAAATCCTACTGATCAATGTTGTGTCTGTTGTTGTTGATAGTCTGGCGTAGCAGTAATTCAAGACGTGTCAATCTTTACTGCACCTCTGTGCTCGAACAATCGCCTGTAATGACATTGTTGACTTTAGCCTGGAATCTTGATGTCTACGCCCGTTTAATGAAGTTCATATGGGATTTTTTTATTCACAGGGGGGCGCCGTCTCACTCAGGTTTAGAGGTACGTGCTCATTTGAACCCTTCTGAGGATATAGCGTTATGTCTAATTATTATCAAAGTCAATTTGATAGATAAAAAACGATAAAAATCTGGGAAAAAAACATTTGATAGCCTGTACTGAGAAGTCAATGAATGCCAAGGTGTCAGTCAACTTTAGCCTACTTTTCACAAAGACGACTTGAGGTCCCGTGTGAGTTAACCTTGCTCCATATTTACACGGGTCATCTGTTCCCAATTTCTTGGATGCCGTTACTAGGTGACTTGGAAATGACGACAGACAACGGGGACCATGAAGTCTTTGTTCCGTTTCTGTCCGATTCCGAGGGGAGGTTCCTGAGTTACGACTTGAAGTCGTCATCGAGGCATGCCAGGAGTCTGAATGGCGACAGAAACTTGTATGTGTCATTCAAGGCTTTCAAGTCTGACTTTCTTTTGAGGCTTGAACCAAATGATAAACTTATCGCCCCGAAGGCCACGGTCGAGTGGCAGGAAGGGAATACCACCCGTAAGGAGAGAATAAAGGACCGCTGCTTCTACAGAGGACATCTAAACAACGCGTCTGTTTCCTCGGTGGCAGTTACCAACTGCCGAGGCCTGGTGAGTACCATTTCTCAAAGATCTGGGCTAAACCGTCTGAGATAATCAGGTCCAGCTTTCAACCCCTCGCGTGTGAATTTGGTAAAACAACTGTGGGCGCATACCTGACAAACCTTCCAGACCGCCCCGCCATGGCACAGTGAACAGTGTCGTCTGGCCCAGGCCTGTGCCATTGTCTGGAGAGTCACGCGAATGTTTCCCTGCCTGTCAGTAGACCAAAACATCTGCAGTTGTTTGTATCTTCAACATGCTATTGTTCTGACTCTGGGTGGCACTACTAGCCTTTTGAGGTCAAGAAGATGTGATGAAAATTGAGCCATCTAGCAGATCTCTCTGAAATTGCAGCTTTGTGGAGAACAGTTCAGTGGATATAAATTATGCACATTATGACGTCATTTGCATACCAAAAAAAGGCATGATCACAACTTCAAATTCATGACAGACAAGTATATAACTTAGGGAGTAAGTAATCTTACTACCAAGTGTCATGAATTGTATTTTGAGTAACAATGTTGAAAAAAATAAATAACCTATAAATTATAATAGGGAAACATTCTGCATAGGTTGGCAAATATTAATTTTCTTCCTAATGCTTTAATTGTCTACCATTTCACCAAAGCACATATGTTGATATTCATTCCAGGAAGGATGGATTCACTCAGAAGGGAACAATTTCTTCATTCAGCCACTTTACAATTCATCAACGGATCACAGAGAGCATGTCATACACAGAAAACACACAAGCCTGGAGGGGGATACCATGCAATGGCCCACTATAAGTATACCTGAAGGTAAAATTACCTATTATGTCTTCAGGGATTTTTTTTCGCAACAGACTAGATGTATGTGTACATGTACGAGTGCATCCCACGGTTTAAAACTTGGGATGTATTTCAAGAATGTTTTTGTGTGTTTTAACCAGCCACTCTGTGTTAAGACGGTATTACGGTGATTACCAGTACAAATACCCCCTTCTGCCAAATCTGGATAAGCCTGCTTAAGGCCGTCTGTTGATGGAAGTTGGCTTGTGATGTTATGTTTGGAAGGGCAGGTTTCAGCAGCCAGCCTGCTTTAGTTAGCTCTCCCCTACCACTGCCAGAAATGCCAGGCAGTCAGATAGCGTTACGATTTTCCCAAGCACGTGTGTGTAATGTTGTATGTAATTTCATTGGATTAAGATGCTACAACAGTAGCCATAAATTAACATACGTGGTGTGAAGACTAGCAAGTCTGCTGCCCACCCGTGTCAGGGACCCCCGCAGCAGTATAATCAGACTGGATACTGCTACTAGGTTCATTCGATATTTTGAATACCGTGGTAACGAGGTTTCAGCTTTTATTAATACATACAGTAATTGATAAATGAAGAAACTTAGAGGACTTACTTTAGTTGTTGGTTCCAAAATATGAGCATTTTGGGCTTGATTATTCAAAGCAGACAAAAATGAACTGGCAAATTTGGGAGCCAAGTGATTTAAATTGTTGTGGCCTAAATCATAATCTCATCCCCGTGTTCTGTGTAAAGTGTACCTGTCTTATTTTTCAGAAGACAACTCGAGACACAAGCGCCATGACACAGTGAGAGACAAGAATGTGGAAGTTCTATTGACAGCAGACTACTCCGTCGTCTCTTTCCATGGATATGAAAATATTCAGATCTATTTGCTGACTATCATGAACATAGTAAGTTGTCAGAGGCCTGAACTAATGTTAGAAGTCAGCTCATAATACACTAGTACAGCTTTCGTGTAACGTTTAAACATACATATAGAGTTTGACACCTACATTGTATAAACATGAGATATTACAATGTTTTTGACACAGAAGAAGTCGAGGTCATCTTTTTCTGTGAAACTTCCAATGCAAATCAAAATTTCTTCAAAGAATATAGAAATTTTGCAAAGTGTAACGTTACTAGTAACACAATCAAAAGCTGTAATGTTAGTGAACAAAGTGTTATTTTTAAAATTTCCTTGAAAACAATTTACATAATAAAGCATTGCTGATATTTTCAGGTGAATGAGCTCTACCACCACCGGTCCCTTGGAGCCCATGTTAACGTGTGCCTGGTGCGGATGGTTCTTTTGGATCCAGCAACAGTAAGAACATCTGTGTTTAAATGCTGTGACATGATGCAATGTCAGGACACACGAATTAGGTCTTGTTGTTTCATGCCTAACATTTATCTGCTATGCAGTGGCTTTTTTAATAACATTTACAATACTGTAAAAACAGCACTTCAATTTCTTGACACATTGAAAGTCAAGAGTACATGTATATTTCAGCAATTACAACAATTGCAACAACACAATAGAAAAGCTTGAACTCTAGTCTAGAACAATCAAAAGTTTGGTAATATTAGAGAAAACTTACTTGACAGAACAAAGACAAGTCATAACATCAGACAGTGATATTAGTAGGGGCTGATTTCATTGGCTTACAGGTAGTTGCCATAAAGTGGTGGTTTGTTTTTACTGTTTTTACGCTTTTTGTACACCGTGAAGGGTCTAGAAGGCTAATCAGTAGGAGGGCTGCTTGGAGAACAGTTTTAGCAGGCTAAGCAAATAGCAGTTTGAGTCAAAGACTGAGTCTGTCTCTTCCCCGTGTTGTCCAGTCTAACATGGTGGTCCCCGGGAACCCGTCGCGCAGTCTGGAGCAGGTCTGCAGATGGGCGCACGACGTGCAGACGGAGGACCTGGACGACAGCGACCACCACGACCACGCCATCTTCCTCACACGTATTGATTTCGGACCTGCAGGTCAATAAAAAGTGGAACTTCATTCCAACTGGCAAGTCTGTCATGTCTTCCCAAAATACCAACTTTCCCAAACATTCTTCTGTGGGATGCCTCGTGGCATGTTTGGTACAATTGTACTTGTCTTGGGAGAGCCACAGACTGCATGGCCAACCAAGGAATCAAATGTTTCCTACTATAAGGAACACATTTTCTTGTGTGTGTGATTTTAACACATTAGTTGTCTAATGAATTTGATAAATTTGTGACACAGATACTATATATGCTAAGCTTTTTTCTTTACTATCCTCTTCTAGAGTACCCTGGATGCCAGCGTTGTTTGCTTTTGTCTGCTCCCCACTGCTTGCTCCCCTGCCAACATAGGGGACAAAGCTAACAAGGCTTAATCTCCAAGCAGATTCGGTGGGGCAGGGGGACTTTATA